AGCCCCCGCAGGCACCTTCCCGAGGGGTTCAGCCTCAGGAGGATTGCAGACAGGTTGCAGGATATCCAATCGAACGAGGCTCATATCTTCCAGAAAGTCCTCAAGGTTTCTGCCTGGCTGATGTCGTTCTTCCTTTTTTCAACAGTGTTGCTGCGGGTTGTTTTTTTCTTTTGCTTTTAATTCTTTTAATCTATACCTTATTGTTTCAATAAGGTATAGGAAGTTATTGTGAGTTCAAATCGTTATCTTGAAATAAAATCTGAGTGGCTTCCTGCTAGATTGAGCCTGATACGGCAGGCCGGGGCGCCCTACCTGTACACTTTCACGTTCTGATTGCCAGGGTCCACATCTCTCTGCCCGAGAACGTTCTCTGGCGACCTGAATGCACTCTGCCTGTGTAGGCAGGCCAGGAGTGCTGGGATGCAATGCAGCCGCCCTTCCTCCCCCACTTTTCAAAACTGATAGGGGTTGGTGTATAAATACCACAGCACCCTCGTCCCTTAGTTGGAAACTTTGAGGTGCCAGGCTACACTGGCTCCCAGAGCTCCTAAGTGGACAGGACAATCTAGATCTAGTCACCCACAGTGGTATCTAGATGTGCCCTCTTATATCCCGCTTACCTTTCCCATCTCACTTGTCTATTCCCCTGCTGGTGATTCCGGGGACCGCCTTGCATGTAAACTCTGCAGATGAGTGTTCATCTAAAGTGGGACCCAAATCAAAACTCTGAACATGGCAAGCTTTTTAGAAAGTTCTCTCTCCTGGTGTGGCGAGTGAACTGGAGGAGGAGGTGTGGTGGAGGGCGGGAGACCAGCATGGGGGCGTGATTCACAGGCCCTCAGAGGGGAGAGAGGGGCCAGTACCACATGCAGCCATGCAAGAGCATCCCAAGATATTTTAAAAATATTTTGACATTTAAAAAATCGAAGTAGTCATCATAGAAATATCCTGACTTTGCTGAACTTCCTAGCACTTATTTTACGGTTTATTGTTGGTGGTGGTGGTATTACTATTACTGCTACTGTGAAGGCACTTGGTCAGTGTTTGTTGAACAAATGAGTCAATAAATGACTCCTGGGTTACTGCCACTAACTGAGAGGAGGGCCAGAGGAAAAGGTGCAAGTCTGGAAGGAGAGGAAGGGTAGCAATTTGCTCCTACCCACATAGCAGATAACAGGGTGTTCTGGATCCTCCTTGGAACTCAGCGTCTGGGGCAGGCTCCACACAGGGGCATCATAAGTCTATTTAAAGGTCAGCATGGCACGTGCTCCTGTCAATCAGAAGGAATCCAGCCCTCATGTCAGGGCTGAGTCCTGGATCCCTTGCTGAGCCGGATGATAACATTTTAGTTGTCGGGTTATGGAGAGCAGGAGCAGGGTAGCCAGGGCACTTGGGGGCTTGGGACCGTGGATACTCACCAACAGCAGGCAGAGTTGTACCAGTGTGTACGTGCTGAGTCACAGCCCTGGGCTTGGAGATGGCAGAGCAACTAGATGCATTGGAAGACACCATCTAGCAAGGCTGGAGGAAGGACTCCCCACTGACCCCAGCCCAGCCCCTGCTGAGAGACACCTGGAGCAGGCCAAGGATGGTGAATCCTGAATGGATGGCCAGGATGCTGTTCTCAATGCTTCCAGTAAATTATCTCCATGGAGAGTAGCTTCCATTACTATCCCTATTTTAAAGACATGGAAACTGAGCTGCAGGGAAGGGTCGAGTGTAGGGGATGACTTTCAGTCACTTGGAGATTTTCGGTAACTTGCCTGCAATTACATGGCTAGTAGGTGGCAGAGCCAAAATTCAAGCTTCTCTACGCTCAACTGCCCTATAAATTGGAGTACAGGGTGGAAGGCAAAAGGGGAAAATCAGCCAGTGGCTATCTAAGAGTTTCGAGGAGGCTTAGTGGTGTCTTGGTGGCCCAGAAGCTCAAGGGGTAATCAGAGAAGTACATCCCCAGCTGCCAGGTTAGGGAGGAATCACACACAGGTGCTTGTCCCAGCTGGTGGAGTTTCTCAGGAGTAGGGCGTAGAGGAGATATGAAAAAGATTTGAAATAGCATGTGGCATTAGAACGGGCTTGGTACATTTGAAACGTGAGGACACCATGTACCTTTGTGCCTCCAAATCCAAACATGATCCTGAGTACAAAGTTATCATTCAAGAAATATTTGTGAATGGATGAATGAATGAACAAAAGGTCTGCTTGATCTTTCTTAAACATGGATCTGACCCCTATCTCTTACCCACTTAAAATCTTCCCAAGGTGCCCCACCAGTTGCAGGAAAAAGTCTAAGAATTCAAGCTCAGCATCATCTCACCTCTGCCTATCATCCACCACGATGCCCCCAACACTCAGCCTTCCCTGCTGCTGTGTGCTGTGTGCTGTGTGTGGTAGAGTCTATTTTCTTGGGTCCTACCAACCTTCTGTGCCCCTCTTTTCTGGTCATTGCAAACCCCCATTCATTTTGGGTGGAGGAATTTTTCCTTCTGCACAACTCATCTCTTGGGGGCAGGGGGCTGCCGATCACAGTCATGGGCACACGACACAAGTGGGACCAGTCAGAGTCCATTCCAGGAATTAATATAATCTCAGAGGGAAGAGGAAGTCTTCTCTTTCATCTGTGGCCACTCTCTGGGGTGATGAAATAACACAAGCCCAGAGCTGTCTGCAAACACCCCTGCCACATGAAGGAACCTTGTCCTCAGTTGGAGGAGAAAAGCCATATACAGAGAAAAGGAGAAGCTGGCCAGCCACACACACACACACACACACACACACACACACACACACACACACACACACACAGAGAGAGAGAAGAGGCAGACTAAGTTTTCATGCTGCCATGCCCCATTGCTTGAGTTTCTATGTCCCCCGTACGCCCCAGTTTCATGAGACAATACATTCCTTTTCTTTTCTGGCTTGTTAATTTGAGTTGTGTTTCCTTTATTGACTAACGCTCAGCCGCACTGGATTGCTGACAGTTGTCTCCTACTTACACCCCTTACAGGTCCAAGTGACACAGTGCAAGCCATATGAAGTCCAAAGGACACAGGAAATTTGAGGGCAGCTCCTGTGGCCCATTCTATTCCCTCAGTTTTTCTTCCAGCTATACTATGTGACCACGTCCAGGCTGGTGGGGGGATTCTCCCGGACCTTCTCCTTCATGCTCTCTGTCCCTCCCTCCATGCCTTCTCGACCCTTTGCTCCTTTGCACCCTCCAAAATCTGCCTCCTCATGGGGTCTGGGTTGGCAGCTGTTTCTGTCCCTCTGGTTTTGTTGTGGACAGGGGACTTTGGATGCTATAGGCTTCAGACCTTGAGGGTCTGCAATATGGATTCAGACCAAGTCCCCAAAAGACCTCTAGGACTATAGAGATTGCCCGCTTGTGGCAAATCTTCCCTCCCGTATCATGCTGAGACTGTTAGTTGGCTTCCCAGCCTTCAGATACATTCAAGACTTCCAGGCGTAGGGTAGAATGAAGGCTTGTGTCTCAATTGTGTGCAAGGTTCAGACATTAAACACATCAGGTGCTTAGAGGAGGAAGCATGAGAAAGGGCAGGCAGGTCCAGGGGGATGGAGGGTGGCCACTGGCAGAAGGCCCAGGCCAGCCCTGGAGTGGTGAAGGCTTTCCCGTGGACTCGCTCACCCACCAAGGGTCTGCAATACGGACCTGCAAGATGGGGCAATGCACAGATAGCACAGCCTGGCAGAGGAGTCTGTGTGGCTTGCCTAAGTGACATGAAGACACCAGGCTGATGGTCTCTGGCATGTGACAGGAAAGCTCAGTGAAGGCTCTTGAATGCCACGCCCAAGATTCCAATGGTCATTCTCAGAGTCTGAAAGGGGCTGGGAGTGGGTGATTCGGGGGCCCCTTTCGGGAAGGCCAGTCGTATTTCCTCCAGTGCATGAAGAGGCCTGGGCAGCCAGGCCATATCCTCAACGCCCTTTCCCGGGGTTAGTCTCTGGGTTTGTCTCCCCACCCCATCCTAGGCCCCCATCCCAGCCTGTCCCTTCCATGGCCCTGGGCCGTGTGGGCTCTAACTAAAACAGGCAGCTGCACTGCATGGCCTCAGGAGCCCTCTGTCCCCTTCCCCTGCAGCTCTTATCCATGCCAAGCACCCCCCACCCCATCACTCAAGGGGTGGGCAAGTCCTCAACAACCCACCTCTGGGGCTTTCCAGCCTATAACTGTCTTCATTCCACGACCCATTAGAACAATTCTCACTGCTCTTCCATTTATGAAGCCCCTAAGTGGAGGTTCTGAGCTGCTTTTTTTTTTCTTCGATTTCCTTCCTACTTCAAGGACTATGAGGGTGACTTCACTTTGCTGAGTTTCTGGCCAGCCCAGCTGAATGGGAGGAAATATCCCAGCATGCCTCTCGCCTGGCGATTATGTTTCTCCTATAGGGTCAGAGCAGGAGCCAGAGAGTCACAGGCGTGGAGCTGGGAGGGAGCAGAGGCAGCCTTGCACGGCGCCTCCTTGGGAAGATCTGGAGTGAGACAGACCCTGAGCCTGAAGCCAGCCCCGCCACTCGCCAGCGCTGTAACGTGGAACAAGTAACTTCATGACCCTCAACTGTTTTTTTTTCCTCATTTGTAAAGTGGAGGTAAAAATGCTCACCTTGCAGAGTCACTATGAAAATGAGATGGAATATATAATAAGTGTAATGTTTAACAACTGGGAGCTGATATTATGCTTGTCTTATCCCAACCTCATTGAGAGAGAGAGGCAGACTTGCCCAACGTCATACGCTGAGACAGTGGCAGACTCAAGTTCATCCTGTTTCCCAGTCTGGGGCTCTTCTGCCTGCCCCACACTGCCCCCGCCATGTGGGAGACAACAGGCAAGAGCAGATGGGCATGATGGGAAAATCTTTCTGTTCTCTGCTCATCGCCTGAGGAGAAGCACAAATGGCAGTGACAGGATTAGCAACCCCACCCCAGGTCAGCTTCCACATCAGTGAGGGAGAATAAAGGAGTGAGAGGGACAAAGTCAAACAGAAGAAAGTGCCCGGAAAAGATGTTTTTATGTTCACTTACATCGGAAAAAAAATCAAAGTACACAGCATGAAGATATATGTTTCTCAGAAAATTCATCTCTGTGAGCCTGTTTGTTTCAGTTGCAGTTATAGTTCAAGACTTCCCAAATGCAAGTCATAAAATCGTGGGGTGGGGGTGGGGAGGAGAGCCACCAAAGGAAAGTAGTAATTATGTGCTATTTCTTTTCTAGTTTCAGATAATTCGGAGTTTCAACTTTTCCGGCAAGTCAGAGTTATATAAACAGATGCCATACTAAAATATGATTGTGTAAAAATATAAAACTCCTAAAGCATGATCGCAATAATATTTTAGGGGAAAAAAACATTGAAGTCTGGTAATATCAGAAAGTACAAACAGGATCATTTGAGCAGTTCTGTTTCTCTGTAAGAATACCAGTTGCAAATGATGGATGTGTGGGAAAGAACAAAGCTTTCGGTCTGCACATAACTTAGAAAGGGGCAACATTTCTAAACGCTGACTTTGTAAGAAAACATGAAGGACATCTTAACACTCAACAACAATGGTTAAAAGGAGGAAGTAGCTTTCTGAAGGATGCAGTGGGCAGAGTGCCATGGCCTTTGTCTTCAACTTGCTCTTAACCTGTTCTGGGGTGTGTTCACTGCATGGGGTTTCCTACAGAATCTAGCACCGATAGATGGATCAGATTTTGTCTTTGATCTGAGTCCTTTATGTCTTCAGTTTTGAGTGTATTGAGGTATGTTTTCTTTGGTTGCTCTTATAACGAATGTGTAATTAAAAAAAACTGTAATATTTACAACACTTAAACATTTTAGATTTCAGTGTCAGCTCTTCACATAAGAAAAATCTGAAAACTCTTTAAGAAGCATCAGAAGGTTATTACTTCCTAGCATCTGTCATGAAACTGTTTTCGATGCACAGGACAATGAGCCTATTAGCGCAGCTGTATGTTTTCTGGTCCAGAATCTTCCCCGAGCTCAGCGGGGAGGCAAGTCCCGTGACGGCCATGTCCCCGGTTCGCCACGCTTCACAGTACTTATCCACGAGGCGGACCCCGTGGGGGCTGGAGCCGTGCCAGATGACCTTCTGGGGCCTAAAAAGTAATTTTGTCATGTTACTTTTTGAAATGACACTTCTCTGTGGTATATCTTGATAAGCAAAATTGGCATAAGTCTGGTGAATCAAGTCAAACTCCTTAACCTTCCACTGTCTGATGCCTCTCTGTCCTCACTGCTCTTGCCAACTTTCTGAACACACGATATACCCAGCTTGTAGTTATTTTCAAATCATATCCTCTGCTTTTGTGAATCTAAACCTCTGTTTATGAGGTCCCTTAGTCTGGAGTGGTCTCTCTTTCAACTCTAGACCGGTGGGTGACTCCTTTGAATCTTCCAAAGGCCAATAAATGCCTCCTCTTGCAGGAAGCCTTCTTTGATTCTTGCCCCTAAATCAAAATAAAAATGAATATTTCCTCTACACTCATATGTGTTTCTCTGCCTAATGATTATAACATTCTGTCTAGAATCACAGTTAGCCTGTGTCTCTGTAGACTGTGAGTCCTGTAAGGGTAGGGGCCATATAGGCCTATTATTGTCCTTCCAGGCCTGGTATCAGGCCTGGTATAAAGCAGACACCGAGGAAAGGTTTGCTGAGTTGTTCTATTCTGAAAAGCACACATAATTTTCAAAGATTTCAAATGCAACTCACAGTATCGAGTTACAGGATCACCAGGAGTTGCATCGCTTACCACTCATTCAGTGCCCAATGCATGCTGTACGTTTTCACACATATTCATTTTGCTTGCAGAACAATCCTATGGTATAGGTATGATTATCTTGCCCATTTGACAGGTAAGGCAGCTGAGGCTCAAAGAGTGGAAATGCCTTCTCCAAGGTCCCACATTGAGCTACTGGACCTGGGTCTCCTGACGCCAAGGACAGGGCTTTCCCCATGGCCCTGTGGCTTTGTGTTGGCAACATCCCAGAGGGCAGCTGATAAAGGCATGCGATTGTTAGGATGCCTCCTAAAACTGCCCAGCATATCATACCTGCGGGTTTCCGCCCTCACTTACCAAGAAGGATCTGTCATCACGTCTCGGCCATCAAAGGAGTAGATTGGAATGTGCGTGTTGAACTGACCTCCATGGCCAGCAAAAATCGAGTCCCAATTATTAAAAAGTACTTGGCCCTATAGAGACAAAATGCCACATTAGAATCATTGTACCATCAGCCTACAAATGGACTAGATATTTTTACTGATTCTCCAAAGCCCAGATGAGACCTCACATTGAAGTCCCCAGCCCCAGTCCCAGAGCCTGGACAGAGTAGAAACTCGAGCAATGTTTATAGTTTGATTTTACAACCCATCCTCGAACCCTTTTGCTTTTACTGTCTTATTTCTTGAGGCAATGCCTCTTATCATATGTGCGTACAATGCTCCTTCCCATCAAAAGCATATTTTAGGTCTTTCTTTTATTATTGTTATTTTAAAATTTTTGTGTACATGTGCTGAGCTTCTAATTTGTGCCTGATCTTGTGCCAGTCTACACTCTGGGTGATATGGAGACGAATCTCTTAGTCCTTTCCTGAAAGTGCCTAATCTCTTGTGGAGAGATCCAAGCACAAAAATAATTCCAGCGGGAAGTGCAGCAGATCCCTGGGAGAGGGGACAGAAAGTGCTGGGGATAGGGTCAGGGGGAAACTTGCAGCTCAAGGTTCCACACTGGAGTACTGGGGTTGCAGGGACTGAAGGGGCTGGAAGTGACCTTGAGAGCTAGTTAGTGACCAGGAGCCAGGATGTGTGTGAGTAGGAACAGAGCTCTCCCTCTGCAGCCTTGAAGGAGTCTGCTATTTCCATGGCATACTCGAGGGACCTTACCAGGCCCTGCCTTACCAGTAGATGGGGCACAAAAATAACTGCAGGGCTTTGGAAGCTTAGATGCTCAGAAAACACAAAACCAGGGTTCAGGACAAAGTGTCTCTGCCCTGGGACCAGTGTCCCCCAGCTGCTATCTGGTACCACTCAGCTGATACCCTCCGGAAGACGTCCTCAGGTGGGACCAATAGCCCCAGACACAGGAGTCAAGGAAACTAATGCTCATTTGCAGTGATTCAAGCAAACTGCTTTCTTCCTCTGAGCCTCAGTTTTCTTATCTGACAAACTAAGAAAAAAATTAACTCCTATTTTTATTGCAAGTACCTATTAAGAGTATAGATATAAAGTGTTTTGTAAACAAGCAAAAAGCCCTATATAAGCGAAAGAAGTTAATATTATTATTTCTCCTGTGTGCTCCAAGAGTCATGGACCATCCAAGCAGGAAGAAAACAGGCCCAGAGAGGGCAAATGACCTGTGCAAGGTGGCACAGCCAGTTGGGGGAGAGCTGGGCCTGGAGCCAGCAGTCTTCTGTTGATGTCATGGAACAGCCACTGCCCCAGGCCCTGCGGAGCCCAGTGCATCCAGAAGGCAGTGGGAACCGTACTTGTTTTTACCTTGAGGTTCACTATTGGAAGGCTGTGTCTCTCTGCTTTCCGCACGACTGTGGAGAGATCTTGCAAATGGGAGGATAAGAACGCTCGGTAGGTGGACAACAGTCCCGCAGCCCGGGCCTGCTGGAAGCACTGAAAGTCAGCTCGAATGTCCCCAGAAAACGGCATGTTCAGAGCAACCAAGTGAAGCTGAAAAAAGTGAGAGAAAGCAGAGTGCAGTTAGACTCACAGGCAAACTCCGACCCCCGTAAACATCTCACGTTCCTAAGAAGATCCTAGACTTTGTAGGCTGGGAGGCATGTGGAGGTCGTCTTATTCGACCTCTCCTTGACATTGGGATCGCAGTCTCTGTTTGACCACCTCCAGGGAGGGAGAGCTATGGTCTCCCAAAGCAGCCTGCTTCAGCTCTCTGAACAGCTCTAAGTGGTAGAAATTTCTCCCTTAGGTGAGAAAAACAAAACAGAATACTGCTCGGACCAAGTAAAGCACTTCGGAGATCCGAATAGATCTGAATTCAGCCTGCAGGCCGTATGGTTGAGACTTCTGGGGCCACCCTAGCTCAGTTTCCAGCAGGGTCCTGGATCCCAGAGCTTCCCCAAGCCATCTGCCTGCTGCCCTTTCTTCCATCTCCTGCGTGGGCCTGTGGCTGGTCGCGGGAGGGGCCCATGGAAAAGGCGTCAAAAGGAGAAGAACGTGACATGTATGATGAAGACTGCTGGGATAGACCCTCCTGGGACCTAGGAGTCTAGTAGCAATTCTAGCCTCACGTCCCTGCCATCTTGGTCAGCAGCCCAAACCAAAGCCATTCCGTAGCCTGTTTCTCCGCATATGCTCTCCCCAAACCCACCTCCCTCAATGGCCCTCTCCCCTAGCCCTTTCTACCACACACTCGGGAACACATTCTATAATCAAGGGACACGCATCCCCTCCTCTTCAATCGTGTCTCGGGGGTAGCTTTTATCTCATCCACTTAGAGCTGGGGAGGGCTGGTGCGGGACCTCGGCCCAAGTTGCCAAACAAGGAAACTGTTTTTAAATATCTTAAGCCAAAGGACATGAAAGGAGCCTCATGTGGTGAGGCAGGAGGTGGGCCAGACCTGAAGGAAGTCTCCGTGTGCTGCGCAGGCCTGCCACGGTGGCCTTCTCCTTCTCAAGCTTCCAGCCGGATGGCCACAGCTAGCCATGAGCTAGTGTCCAGGCTGCCCCACACAGTCCTGGCGTGTCTCTGGACACTGTTCTCCATGCACCACCCCCTCCTTCCCTGTCTCCTGCACAGGACAGACGCCCAGCCTGCCACCTCCCTCACTCTCTCTGTCTTTATTCATCCCGGGTTCTGTCTTGATCACCACCGAGACAGAGGTCACCACCCCCACCTCCCACCTGCCCCACCCCTCCCCAAACTGAGGCTTCCCCACCAGGCCTTGCAGGGGCTCCACATTCCCTCCGTTAGGATGGGAGGGGGCTTCAGCATGCTGCCGACTCACCACCACCACCTGCAGGCCACCAGACTTCTACCTACACACACACACACACACACCCACACCCTGGCCCTCTGATGCCCCTGCCATTGGCTACACTACCCCTACCCGGTCTTCCTCCTTCTCGTGCATCTGGAGTCTCTGACACCTGAGGGAAGAGGCCTGTGGTCTCATCACCCTGCAACCAGTGCACTTCTGGGGCTACATCAAAGGGCATTCATGAGAGGCCTTGATGGAACAAGCCTTCCCCAGTGTCAGCAGCCACCTAAGAAAGGTACGGGGCATGGCCAGGAGTGGTGGCTCACGCCTATAATCCTAGCACTGGGAGGCTGAGGCAGGAGGATCACTTGAGACCAGAAGTTCAAGGCCAGCCTGAGCAAGAGTGACACCCCGTCTCTACAAAAAATAGAAAAATTAGCTGGGCATGGTGGCGTGCACCTTTAGTCCCAGCTACTCGGGAGGCTGAGGCAAGAGGATCCCTTGAGCCCAGGAGTTCGAGGTTGCAGTGAGCTGTGATGACACTATAGCACTCTAGCCCGGGTGATAGACAGAGACCCTGTCTCAAATAAATAAATAAATAAAAGGTATGGAGCAAGTGCAGGGCGTCCCCACCAAGCCTCTAATCCCACCCCCTCCACTTCTCCTTCAAGGAGATACGGAGAAATGTCTGCAGTTATGGCTGTTTCTGAATGGCGAGATCGGGGGCTTTGGGGCTCTCATGTTTGTAGTTCTCTAACTGTTGGATCATTTTTATAACGAATGTGTATCACTTTTATGAAAACAATAATGTTTTAACGATCAAAATGTTAAAATGGTTGTTTTGTGGGTAGTTGCAATTTTGGTAAAATTATAGGTAAGTTACTATTTTCTTCTCCATTCTTTTTATGTGTTGTCAAAATTTTCTGTAATGAATATGTATTACTATTGCATTTACAAAATACTATAAAAAATTCTTTAGCAACTGCTCTAACTTCTTTGGGGGCTTTTGAAGGGTTACCTGCACTCACTTCTTCCTTCCCTCACCTCCTGTTTACTCCTCAACCAACTAGAATCTTCTTGGCCACCGAAGTGCTGTGCTGTAGTTTCTAAATTTGAAGGATACCTTTTAGTTCTTGTTATGGATGTCCTGGCAGCCCCGGACACTGCTGGCTACTGCCTTGCTTGGCATTCTTCCTTACTCTCTGGCTATGGCTTCCTGGTTTCCTTCTCGTATCTCTCCTGCCAGTTCCCTTTCGTTTTTATTCCACACAGTCCCATCCCTGTTCACTGCACAGGTTCACTCTCAGGGTTCCTACCGCCCCTGTGACAACCACATGGCTCATCTCCAGGCTGGATCCCACTGCTGGGTTTCACACCTCAAACCCTGTCCCTATCTGGTAGTCTCCACGCAGGTTTCCTCCGGGCACCTTGGACTCACCATGCTCCAAAGGAGTTCCCCTGTGGTGAACAGCGGCAGTACAGGAAACATGTTTCTGATGTCTGCCATGTCCATGTCTGGCTATTGGAAAGTGCCCCCATAGTCCTTGCTACAAGGAGTGGCCTTAGGCCTTCAACCTCATTCTCCTGGCTACCCTTGATTGGGCAGGGAGTGGGCAATTGACCCAAGAGAGACCATATAGACTATCTCTCCCAGGACTCTGAACTGAGCCAGGTAGTATTGGGCTCAGCAGCTGTCGGATCACAGAGTGGGGGCCAGAACCAGTGTCAGGGCAACCCAAAGCTGTGTGCAAGCTCTCGTAACCTATTACGTATGTTGGGTGCGAAGAAAGACCCTTGTAAAAGACGGTCTGCAGAAATAGTAGACTAATGGCATTCTTTCTTGCCATTCAGCTGAGTTCCATGAGGTTCCTGCAATGATCTGAACAAGATTTCTACTTAAGCTAGCAAAGGAATAGAATGAGAGCTTCTAATCTCTACAACAAGATGGTCTCTGGAAAGGAAACTGTCGCCACTCCACCACCCCTGCAGAAACCTGCGCATCCTTTCTGACCTCTCGCATCCTCACTGCCCCATATCCAGCCAATGATCCAATCTGTCACTCCTGCCACCTTCGTGTCTCTCCAGTCTGCCTACTTTTCTACATGCTCACTGCTGAGAAAGCACGGGAGCCACCTCACTGGCCTTCAGACCCCTGCTCATGTCCCCTCTGATCCATCTGACACTATAACGAAGGAAATTTCTGAAATGCCGATCTTATCATAACTTTCTCCTGCTTTACAGCCTCCAGTAGCTCCCCAGGAAAACGTCAAAGTACTCAGCTTGGCTTGCAGGCTCTTGTTGACTGGCGCTTGCCCTTGCCCTTGCTCTTGCTGACTTCTGCAAACTAAACTTCTTCCTCTTCTCCTTGAGCTTTACTCCTTCAGCCAGACTGAAACACTTGCAGTTATAGTACTGCACAGCGCTTCCCCTCGGCTCCCTCTGTTCCATCTTCCTTCTGCCTGGAATCTACCCTCTTTCTCCAACCTGGCTCACTCCTGAACCCAACTATCCTTTAGGTCTTACTTAGAGATCACCTCCTCCAGGTAGACTTCTTTGGCCTTCCTTGTACCCCCAGCACCCTGTGTTTGCCTCACCCAAACAACTCGGCACACAATTGCATTGTAACTCTCTTGCTTTTGTTTGCCTCTCTTGCTAGCCACACGCACCTTGACGGTGGGGACCGTGCACTAGCACGGGGCCTAGCACATAACAGACACACAGAGTCAGTGCAGAAATCATACTTACAGCAGGCTTCTCGTAATTGGCACTTGAATGAGGGTTCAGTGGAGGCTGAGGGTGATGGGGCTGTTATGTAAAAGAGGAAAAGAAAGAGATCTGAATATGCATTCGATCTGTTTTGCAGAGATGGTGAGGTGCAAGTGCAAAGTTTCTTTCTTTCTGTTGTTTTTTTCCTAGAACTGCTACATGGTGGGCAGCAAGTACAATGTTCCTCGAAAAGATACTTTAAATAGTTTGTCATTGTCTCTAACTGTGACTCTGAACTGTGAAGAGATTCAGGCTCAAATGAAAAAGTCATCCTCAGAAAGGGAAGGGATGTTCTCAAGACTTTGAAAATGAGCACTGAACCAAAAAAGCAGAAGACCAATGGTGAAAAACCAACCATCACTTAACAGAGATAGCCACCTCTTCAAAGTCTCAGTTTCCTCATCTATAAAATGGGTACCTGCCTCAAAAGGCTGCCTGTAGGGCTAAAAGATGGATGTCAGTTGGCCATGTTCTCATAAGACAGAGAGTGTTACAAAATTAAAGGAATCTTCTCGATTACTTATGCCAAACAATGATTCCACAGATGAATAAATTGAGGCCAAGAGAGGGGAAGCCACTTGCCCAGGAGGATTCAGGTACTACATGGGAACAGCAGGCCTCCAGCCTCTGGGTCCAGTTCTGTTGGCGCCTAGTAACTTCTGGGTTTCCACCAGATACTAAACCATGCACAGCTGGCTGTCCAGTTGGAGAGCATGAGCTGGAGACCAAGGGGGACTCTGGAAACCCTGATGAATGAAGGAATGAGCCACAGAGCAGGGAAACTACTCACGTTGCTGGAAAGTGCAGGCGGTGGAGGGATGTCGGCAGGAAGGGGGATCAGTTCTCCCAGCTTTAAGGAAAACAGTACATTGAAATGAAACATCAACTAGAAACTTGGCTTATTTTCAAAGCAGAAAAATGGCATTTACAGGAGTAGATGATTATTTTTAGAGGGTATCTGGAGGCAGTTTGTTAAAGGAAGTTTAGGAATTACCTGTAATTTTTTCCAGCCATCTCTAACGCGAATGAAAAACTCAGTGCTGTCCCTAAGGTAGATGAACGTTCCCTCTATAACCAAATGTGCTTTCTGCAGCATGTCGTCCATGTTGCTGAAGGTCGTAACCTGTCAGATCATGCAAATTCCAAACACCACTGTTATCCTCAGAGCAAGGGGACAATTTGACAAACTGGCCTCTTTGTACAGTCAACTACGAACCACCCCTCACGTTCAGTAACAAGGCTTATTGTGCCATACAGAGATGGAGATATTCACCAATAACTAAAGGGCATCCTTTTTGATAAAACAAAAACATGTATTACTTGGAAACACAAATCTAAATTCTAATAAATGAATTAAAACAAAAAAGGTAACATTCTGTGAGTACAAAAACATTTAAAAATTGTCAACAGAGTTGTCTTTGTTGGGTTTGACATTGGCAGAATCATGGGTAAGTGCTGTCCCTTCCATTTTTTGAAGCTGCGTGCGGTCCCGACATTGTTAAGTGTTAGTGATGTCACTTCATGCTACTCTTTGAGGAATTTCAAATCTATTTCCATTTGGAGTTAGAAATGCAAGCAAGTGAGCAACTATACTTAGGTATTAAATCTTTTTGGTCTAGCTGTGTAGTTACAATACGAAATACACAATACAAAATGAGGGTTTGTAATTTCTCTGCCTAGAACGCTGCCAAAGATTAGACAGTCACTTGATATATCTAGGAGCAGATACAGACGCTGCAAAAATCCATTGAGTAGCATCAAATCTCAAAGAAACATCAGCTAAGAGAGTTTTTATTTTTCATTTTCACTAAGAAAGATGATAAAAAATTAATTTTCACTTAGCCTTGAAGATAATGGCTTTGTGCATCCAAATGGCTTAGAAGTTCCCCCAGAGGAACCAAATATCAAAATTCTATCATTGGCTGGACAGTTTTCTCTTTTGGCAGCCAAATTTTCCGACTAAAATCCGACTAACAAAGATCAAAGAGCATTCTTAGGACTCCTGACATCCTTGTGAGGTATTTGTCCAGCTTTTGTGCCTTCTAATGATCCTGGTGTGCCATACCTTGTTCCCAAGTGCTGCAGAGAGACAAATGTACAAGAGACATCCTTTGGCAGAAGAGAGAAGGCTGAACTACCCAGGTAAATATGACCAGCACAAGGACCTGTTGTGATACTGTTTACACTCTTGGGCTGATGTTTTTTGATATAATATTATATGATTGGTTTTTGTTATAGCTTAGTCAATTAAAGATTTGAAGGGTAGAACTTAAATAATAAATGATTTTGTTTCTCATATAATAACAAGTGACACGTATTAAGTCATCTGACATCTATAATAAATTCCCTCTACTCTTTGTGGAATTGCACCAATTCTACTGTCGTGGAGGCTAATCCCGAAAGAGAACCAGGCCCTAAACGCTGCAGCCAGAGTTGTAAGTAAATCCAACCAAAATGGAATGACGAATACACATGGATAATGACACTGACCAAGTTTCTGGATCCGGGAAGCCCTGGCTGTCCTGGAGGGCCTGGTGGGCCTGGAAGGGCCACAGCTACGACAAAGCAGAAAAGAGAAGTTACAAGAACTGCCCTCTCTGAAAAATGCCTCAGGTGTCAGCTGGTCACCAGAGCGAAGCGTTTACAACCCCATTCACAGTGCTACCAAGCATCCCAGCTTGCAGCTGCATCTTGGTGGTCTGGACCCAGCATATGACTCAGGCCATATGGACTGGTTAGAGGAAGAGCTGGGATTCTTTGACTGTCCCCCTGGATCAAGCCATGCCTAAGACTTTTCATCATTATAAGTGAATAAATTCCTTTTGTGGTTGTAGTTTGTGAAAGCCAGTTTGAATTCTTTGTCACTTACATCCAAAAATATCCTGACTCATACAACTTACTTCACCCAAGAGACAAGCATGTGACTACCAAACAGGAAGCAAGCCCAGAAAGAGGAAGAGAAGGTGCTAGGCAGTGGAAGGGGGCCAGAGTGGTATAGGGACAGCAGCCCTGGCCTTGGGGCCAGAGACATGGACTCAAGTCCCCAGCTTGTTAATTCCCTGTTATGTGGTCTTGAGGAGAGAGCGAGCTCTCTGAACCTATTTCCTCATCTGCAAAATGTAAACAGGCAATTCTTCTTCACTGGGCTGTGGTGAGAACTTACTGCTTTGCAAATTGTACAGCGTTCGACCAGGAGCTCTTAGCTTTTGAAGAGTCACAGTGCCCTTAAAAATCAGAAAAAGGCTATTGCCCTCTTCCCTTGACAAATGCACACACTCCATTCTAAAAAAAACGTTAGTGGGCTGACAGATTCCTGAGGTACATGCTCGCACTGTTTAGCAGTCCGTGATTCCCCAATTGCAAAGCCCTTACTCTAGGAAAACATAAAGGGTTATTACAACTATTCCTTTGTTCTTCGTCTGTCTCTCTAATTCCCTGCACCCTGCCCTCAAATCTGCAAACCTCTTGGCAGAGTTAAGGATGTCCTTACAAGTTCTGGTAAAATTATACGATTCTTTAGGTCACCGCAAGTCTTCAGTTCCAAATAGGACTTGAACACCCATACCTAGGTGGTAAATAAACATCCAGTGGATAAAGGGTCAGAGGACTTGGACTTAGATCCCAGCCATGCCTCCCATGAGTATTAGTGACCTTGGGAAAGTCTCTTAACCTCTGTGAGCTTCGGTGTCTTCATCCATGGGATGGATTCTATAATACCCATTTCCTCCCCCTCCCAGGGTTGCTGTGAAGATGACATGGGGTAACAGCTATGAAAGTGTTTTGTGAACTGTGACTCGCCACCATACATTATGTGAGGGGCGACGCTTGTTCAATGCAGCAAGGCATCCTGGGTCCCTCTTGTGCAGTGCTGCCATGGACGACAGATCCTCTGCATCCTGCACTCACCCTGTTGCGTGCCTCCACCTCCTGCCACCCTCCTCCTCCCTCAAGGCTGTGGGGCACCTCTGGTTTTATCCGCCCAGCCCCTTCTTCCTTTGCAGGATCAGTACCCTCCTCCTCTTCTCTTAGGATCTTCCCCTTCACCTCTGCAACCATTTGGTTCCAGAAAGAGATACCATGTTCTCATGTGATCCTACCTCCTGGCCACAGGTGATCTGTCCAAGGTTGGGAACCTGGCCCAACACAGCCAGTCAGAATCCTTCCCAGGGACTTGCCCCACCCCAGGACTTTTCAGACTAAAACTGAGAAAGAACTTCAAGATTTTGAGCTGACAGTAGACACTGTAAGTTGTCAGTAACCATATTTCCCACCATGCAGAGGATGTGGTCTGTGGTGAGGAAGCATGAAACTGGCATACAGAGAGAAGCTGAGAAAAAGATGGCCAGAGAGTCCTGGCAGGGGTGAGTCCTTGGTTCTGGCTGTTCCTGAGGTCCAGCCGCATGTCCCCCCTTCCCATGAGTTGATTGTCCACTCCCTCCTTCACATCCAGTGAATTTCCCTTGGAGCTACTTTGAGTTATGTTTCTGTCACTTGCAGCCAAAGATCCAAGGCTAAGCCAGATACAGTGGCTCATGCCTGTCATCCCAGAACTTTGGGATGCCCAGGTGGCAGGAACACTTGAGGCCAAGAGTTAGAGACCAGCCTGGGCAACAAAGTGAGATCCCGTCTCCACAATAAACTTTAAAAATTATCCAGGCATGGCTAACAGCTTTAGCTGTAGTCCTAGCTACTTGGGAGGCTGAGGCACAAGGATCGCTTGAGCCCAGGAGATGGAGGCTGCAGCGAGCTATGATTGTGTCACTGTGCTCCAGCCTGGGTGACAGAGTAAGACCCTATTTCTTAAAAAAAAAAAAAGAGAGAGAGAAAAGAAAAGAAAGAGATCCAAGCCCAAGTCAAAGCCCCAGCCCCAAAGTCACTTCCTTTGTAAAGCTCTCCCTGAGCCCCAGAGTCTGTAGGTCTCTTCCCAGGTGTGCTTCCACCATGCCTGGCTCATGCCAATCTTTAAAAAAAAAAAAAAAAAAGAGAGAGAGAGAAAAGAAAAGAAAGAGATCCAAGCCCAAGTCAAAGCCCCAGCCCCAAAGTCACTTCCTTTGTAAAGCTCTCCCTGAGCCCCAGAGTCTGTAGGTCTCTTCCCAGGTGTGCTTCCACCATGCCTGGCTCATGCCAATCCGAACAACAAAAAAGCACACAGTTATGCAATCATTGCTACTATTTCTTCCACCATGGGCATAGTGGAAATAACACAGGCTTTGGAGCTATACTGATCTGGGTCCTAATCTTGTTTGTGTCACTTATTAGCTGTGTGAGCTTGGAAAGGTTCCTAATGTCTCTGGGTCTCACTTTCCTGACCTGTAAAATGGAGATGCTAATACTTTTCTTGAAGGGTTGTTGTGAGAATTCAATAAAATACTGTAGTAAAATGATTAGCAAAATGCCTGGCACTTGATAAATGCTCAATAAATGGAGGTTTTTAAAATTTCACCCATTTTGCATTTGAGGAAGCGAGGCTCCAAGGGGTGAAAAGATTTTTACATAGAGAATTACAATCAATGCTGGTCCTTAAAGGAGGTTCTTAAGTCCCTAAGGCATTGACAAAGCAGCAAGGAAGTTTCCACCCACACACGAAAAGATGAACAGCACCATTAGTCATTAGGGAAATGCAAACCCAAACCACAACGAGATACCACTTCACATGAACCCATTAGGATGGCTGAAAAGAAAAGATATAACAAAGATAATAATCCTGGTGAAGATGAAGAGAAACTGGAACCCTCATACACCATCGGTAGGAATGCAAACTGCTGTGGCTCCTTTGGAAACCAGTTTGTCAGTTCCTCAAAAATGTAAACATAGAGTTACCATATGAGGTTACTCTACGTTTCGCTCCTAAGCATATACCCAGGAGAACTGAAAACACACGTTCATACGAAAACTTGAACACGAATGTTCACAGCAGCATCATTCATATAGTCAAAAAGCAGAAACAACCCAAATGTCCGTGAACAGATTAATGAATAAACAAAATGCACATCCATACAATGAAACATTATTGGGCCATAAATAAAAAGAAGTACTGATACATGCTACGCCGTGGATGCACCTTGGACACGTTATGCCAAGTGAAAGAAGCCAGAAACAAAGGGCCAGATATTGTATGATTCCATTTATGTGAAATGTCCAGAATAGGCAAATCCAGGGGCAGAAAGTAGATTAGTGGTTGCTAAGATCTGGGGGAGGAGTGGGGAAGAGTGGAAAGACAGTGACTGCTAATGGGACAAAATTTCTGATGTGATGAAAATGTTCTAGAATTAGACAGAAGTGATGGCTGCATGCCCTTGTGAATATATTAAAAACGACTGAATTGTACACTTTAAATGGGTGAATTTTATGATGTGTAAATTATATCTCAATTAAAAAAAAGAAAAGAAATAAGGCTGCATCCTGGAAGCAGCCCTCTGTTAGACAGTGTGGCTGTGACACATGACCCAGACACAGTGACCCCGGGCACACTAGTAGAGGCAGCATGAGTGACCACTATGCTCACAGAACTAACCTGCTCCCAGGATAGCTGGAGGTCCTGGTGGTCCCGGGGGTCCTGGTGGCCCAGGGGCACCAGGTCTTCCAAAGCCAGGTGGCCCAGGCAGGCCAGGTACACCTGGGGGTCCTTGGGGCCCGATGACAGTCTCCCCTTTCTGGCCCTGTCAAGGCAAGTGCACAGTAAGAATAGAGAAAGCACCATTCATCACTAGAAGTCCCATCTAGTCCTTTCATGGGGACATCTGTAAGAAAGCAATAAATGCCAGCTGTTGTTACTGTTATCCTCAATCTTGGCACAATTCAAGGGGGAGTGAGGCCTCAAGGGCAGCAGCCCCGTCACCATGTTGAATGATGCAACGGAGAACCCCAGCGAGCCCTGGAGTCAGAAGGGACCTTGGAGACCACCTAGTCTAGACTTTGTACTTTACAGATGAAGAAACTAAGGCCTAGAGAGGAAAAGGACTTGCCCAAGATCACAAAGCAAAAGAGAGGCCCAGCTAGAAGTCAAGCCCTGATCCTGGCTTTACTGGTTCTACCCTCGTGGTAAGCTCTGGAACCAAAGGTCAATGATCCGGCCATATACTCATTGGATCTCATCCTAGGAAGACCAAGCCTATTTAGGAGTGTCTTCTTTGGTAAAATTTCAGAAGAATCAAATAGCTCCTCTAAAAATATCTCCCTCACCTTCCATTCCGCATCCATTATCTGATGTGCTTACTATTAATAACATTTTGTGTTGAGCAAATTTTCCACCATTTACATGAATAATGCAGTGTGCTTAGTGGCCTGGAAGTTACCTAACTGCACATAGCCTTGCCCACCTCACTTCCCTCCCAGCCAATCATGGGGAGAGCTGGCCAATCCCCAAGTCCTGCCTCCAGCTCAGAGCACAATGACTAACCCTCAACTCCTCAACTGCCTACTCCTTCTGGGGGCTTCAGGGAGGGGCGCAAGCCCACAGAGAAGATGACTTGGAGGGGCTTCTACTCACGGCCAGGCCTGGGTTTCCTGGCAGGCCTGGAGGCCCAGACACAAAGAAGTTATCGTTAGAGTCTCCTTTTTCTCCTTTGAACCCCCTGTCTCCATTCTCCCCCTGGAAGCAGAGAACATGGGGATATTTCAGGAGGAGTAGGGTGAACTTGGTCTCTGACATAAAGCCAGGGCATCAGAAACACATACTCACCTTCAAGCTATTCAGAAAATGTCTCAGGTAAGCCGGATCAACTGGAGGACCTGAAAAAGAAATACCTCTTAAAATTCATGATCATAGTTTCAGAAATTTAAAAACACAAGTGTCCAAGTTGACCACCATGGTTATTTCGCAGTGGACATGACCTTGCATTGGGTTAGCTCACAGGGTCGACTCTGGGCTCAGAGGCAGAAACAGGTCCTGGTCTGGGCCCAGCAACCCAGACATTATGGGGTCCTGGGTGAGTCCCCAGCCCACTTTGGGCCTCGTTTTGCACACGAAATATGAACAATTGAAAGTTCTGGTCGCTCTTGACAATGCTCCATCTTGGACACGCCGGGCCCATGACTGGGTCTCGCTAGACCTCAGTGGAGCCGTGGTCAGGGTGGTAACATGATTAGTCTCACTCTTGCTCAGCTGCACGTCTCAGGAGCAAAAGCCAAAGTCGAGATCTAGCACAAGGGCTGGAGTACCTGGTGGTCCCTGGGCCCCCTGATCGCCTTTTTCTCCTTTTGTGCCGGGAAGACCCCAGGATCCTTTTTCTCCTTTAACACCTGCCACCAAACACATACATTTAAGAAAAATGGTGAAAAATCGCCTTCATTTTACATAAAACCTTTCTGAGACAAGTTTTCAAACTCAGCTCCTTTAGCAAAGTTTACTCAAACGCTTACTGAGAATTCAGCAGGTACAAAATCCTTTGCTAAATGATGCAGAGGGTGGAGGCAGATGCATTAGATACATTCCTGACCTTGAAAAGCTCGGTCTGGCGGGGGAGACAGATGCAGCTCACAGCACGTAAGGCATGAAACATGTGCTGTCGTTGAGGTGCTAGCAGAGCACCACGGGGGCCCAGCAGGGGCTACGACGGACTTTCGCTCAGGCGTTTCCATGCGTGTGGACTGAGGCTCCGCACCAGCTCAGTCTTTCTCATCTCACCGAGGTTTGTGAGGCACGGTGGCCATATGGGGAGGAGAGGGACCTCCCAGGAGTGCCTGCACAGGACAACTAAGGGTGCTAAGTACCCCACTTACAACGCGGGGAGCATGCCAACTGTGTGGTGGTGCACCTCCCTGCAGGACTAGTGGGAACACCGTTTCTGCAGGACTGGCAGGACTGGCCTCCGTCCAGTCTTTATACAACAGGGGGCCCGGAAGGGAGCCTTTCAGGAGATCAGCGTTTGGGAAGGGAAGCGGTTCCCTTTCTCCACCTCCCTAGGTGGGATGGACACTAGGCCTTTGAGTTCCTGGTTTCCGAGAGGTGTGGCAGATCAACCCACCAACCCCCTCGTGCCTAGAGTCGGGGTCACAAAGTGCAGATGAGGTTTGGGGGCTCAGGCTTTCCCAGTGTGGGGGAAGGAATGTGAGCATCAGAGGCGTGATGGTGCCAGTTGTGGGTCAGCAGGGAGACGCAGCCACATCTCACCAGCGCTGGGGGAGTGGCTTGGGACCGAGGACCTGGACAGTGGATCCACACCAAGACCACAGGCAGCGGTGGTCAGAGAAGAAGACGATGAGCTCACTGGTGGGAGCAGTAGTGACGACCCACAAGCCAGTAGGAGGAAGGCCAGCTCACCACAGCTGGCACGTTCCAAAAGGTCTGTTCCCTCCCCCTCCTTCCAGCAGAGCCCCTCAGGGCAGGGGAGCAACTGGGACGATAAGAAATCAAGTCATCCCCTGGGTCCCCTTGCACTGGGGTAGAGGAGAGCCTGGAACTCAATCTGAGCAGGGGGTGTAGAAACAGCCTGGACTTGGTAACCAGAAGTGACAGAAAAACCGTGGGGCCAGACATTATCAGGGAGACCGTCCCCTGGCAGGCCGGGGTGGCACAGCAAGCTGGAGGTGAATATCGGGAGAAGGAGGCCTCCCCCCATGTAAGCCCCAAGTGTCTGGACTCCTCAATCAAAAGGGGGATACATGGTGTGGCAGGGTGTGTGGGGACAGAGGGACCAGAGGCCCCTGTCTCCTGGCCTGTCCCTCTCTCATGTGCCTGCATGTGGCCACGAACACGCTGGTGTTTCCTAATCAAACACTCCAAGCCAGCGCTTCTCACACTTACTGTGCACACAGCTCACCTGCAAGATTGTTAAAATGCGGGTTCTGATGCAGCAGGACTAGGGAGGAGGGGGGGGCCTGAAGTTCTGCATTTCTAATGGGCTCCCAGGAGATGCTGAGGCTAACTGGTCCAGGGACACTTTGAGGGAAGAGTCTTCTAAGCTCCCACGCCCTTCCCTGGATTAGTTCTTGGCATATTAATAGTTAGTTTCACTTAACAGATTCCAAGTGCCTGGGAGGCAGGAACTGCAGGATTCGACTGCCTCAGCCCAGTGCGTGGGATGATATCAAGCAAGGAGTAGGCATCAGCGAATGTTTTATGAACAGACGAACACATGAATGAACAAGCGGCGTGCTTCCTGCTAGCTGGAGGCTCAGCCAAGATGGGCAGGACAGACAGACGTGTGCTGCCCCAACCAAAGAGGTGCCCAGCCCCACAGCCACTTCTCCCACCACACACAGGCAGACCTTCCTGACCACCTAGTCTGTGCCCAGCACTGGGCAAATGAAAACCACCTTCCTCGGAGCTACTAGGGTGAGGCGATGTCCCAGAGGAACATAGTGGAGGAGGAAGTGTGTACCGTGAAAGGTGATGAGTTCTGGATTCCCGGGATGAGTGGTGCCAACCTGGAAAGAGAGGAAGGCGTGTCAGACACTGCCAACCCTGCCCTGGCGTTTGCATGCACAGGCAGCCACTGCGTCGGGGGCATGTGGCAGAAGAGGTGATGCCACGGGGTCGGGGCTTCCTTTGGCTCTGCAACCCCTCAAACCCTGAGCCCCCCAGTAGCCCCAAGGGCACAGACATCCCAGGCATTCAACTGGGAGGCCCATCACGTAGCGGGGCCGTGGGAGACAGAACCGAGACCTACTGGCCGACAAACTCAGCAGAGGGGAAGCCCAAAGCCTTAAGACAACAAATCGTGGCAGTGTTGGTTTGGCCAAGTACGAGCATTCCTGGCATTCTTTCTTATCACGGAGCACTGATTCATGTGAGAGGTCAGGCATACCAGCAAGCGACGTGCCCAGCCACAGAGCTGGGCCAGCCGTCAGCTTTGCTGAGTCCAAAGACGAGTGTAATGAACAGGAACTAACAGCAGCGGTAATCAGTGAAGGGGGTTATCATTAGGTTGTGAGGGGAGGCTATTCCAGACTCCCCATTAAGTGCCAAGGGTCTGGGGTCCAAGTTATTTTATATAATATTCCTTCCAAGTTCTTTCCCAGATAGCTGCACTTCCTTATCTATTAAGACAAAGCCACCTGCAACCTGGCTTTTTCCCAGTTGATAGGTGGAATCCCAGAGTGGTCCACCCGGAGCCAGGATCCTTCTATGCTTATAGTGGAGGGTCACAAGATGCTCAGGGGTCACTAAGAGGAGATGGGAGGTGGAGAGGGAGTCTTCCAGGAAAAACACTTCTAAGTTAAGGATGGAGGCTGGAGCACCAAGCCACTGTCTTGTAGTTATGCTGATAAAGCTCCTCCATGGCGGTACAAGCTGTAAATTGTTCGGGTGCTGAGAAGGGCTGAAACCAGAGGGGGCTCATGGAATGCTGGATGTGAAAGAAGCATTTCTGTTTCAGAAAGGCTATTTCGAAAGCAAGTTAGGAAATGCCCAAGGCCCAGCTCCCACGGTGTTTGGCCAGGCAACATTAAGTCAGCAACTCACCAAAAATGCTCTGAGCCCACCTTTGGCTTCTTTTGTGCAACTCCACGGCCCCCACAGGCCCTGGTTACTGCAAGAGTCCTAGCACGGGTCATGGTAACTACCCTAGCATTTTTATAGTCCCCCAAAGCCCTTGAGTACTGTCCCATGGGTTGGCCCATTTGCAGCCTGAAATCATGTTAGTTGGGGGAGGCTTCTGGCACTAACCCACGGTGGCACCTGGAGCCAGCCCTTTCCTGTCTGGGCTGTGGTCTCTCCTTCTGTACCATAGGAGGTGGGATGCAGCAACCACTCAGGAGGGCCCTCCAGCCAGTTCTGACAATCCATGTTTCTCTCCAGGCCACGGCCAGCAGGCCCTTTAGTCACCTTACAGAGGCGGGTCCTGCCCTCTGCCTTCCAAGCCAGAACTCCCAGGCTCTGGGCTGCAGACTTGGATGCCTCAGAGTTTAGCCGTGGACAGATGTCTGGGAAAACACGCAGCCAAACTGCATCACTTTGAAGCCTCTGACCCAAGCCTCATCATCACCTCCAACAGGCATCAATTACAGACCCACTTCGGGGAATATTTCTAAATTGTAACGTACGAGCTCCCGAGAGCAGAGACCACACCTGTCTAGCTCACCCCTGTGTCTCCAGGGCCCAGCAGAGTACTTGGCACTCGGTGAGTGCTCAGTAAATATTTGTTGAATGAATGAGACAACGATTATGCACGGTTTTGTGACTAACGCCTGTGCACGGGGCTCACCCTCCTCAGGTTTCCGGACAGAAACAAGTCTCGTAATATGGGTGCGCCCCCAGGGACAGTGCTGCTGACTGGCTGGGGGACCAGGCCAGTGCCTGATCCCTCGGAATCGCAGTTTGCACTGCTGCCTAGTGGTCAGGAGACACGAGCTATGGTTCTAGTTCAGGCATGTCCCGCGGCCTGGGACAAGCAAGTGAGCTTCTCTGAGTCACAGTTTGTTTCCTTATTATAAAGTGGCAGAGCTAATCCCTGCCTGTGGGAGTTGTGTGCTGTGCAGTAACATGATTGTTGGGAAACGACAGAACATAGCTACAGATTTTAGCCCAAAGTTCCCAATGCAAAGACCACGGTTGGCATTGCTTTTGTTCCATCTATATTTTTTAAGGGGTCTATTTTCGCTAATTTTATTCTGCTCCAACCATGAAGCTCATGTGGTCACAGAAGACATTGATTTTTTATTATTTGAAAAGAAGAACCCTGCCAGTGTGTGCACCCTTACAAGATCCAGTATATTTCATTGCCACGCTCTGTTATCTAGAAGCTTCTAGTCACTTAAGGGTCTAGACACAGGTGACAGAGACATGAGAGAGGACATTTACTGATGGAAGTGGCCCAAGACAAAGGTTGATCTTTTTCTCCAAGGTGCTATCGATGCCTTAAAGCCTGCTCTTTAAGGCAGTGACTGCTACTTACTGGCGTTTTGCAGTGTGGCCGGACAGGAATTGGGAAAACGGCCTGTGGATGGTGAGAACAAGAGAGGTGAGGCCATCAGGACCCTGACTCCAGCTTAGGCCAGCCCCGTGCCTGACCCCCCATGCAGGTTTCCCCACCCATCCCAGCTTACTCCTTTGATGTTAATCACTGCCCCAGGTGGTCCAGGGGGGCCTGGAGGACCAGGTAAGCCAGGTGGGCCCTGAAGAGAGAAAAGAAAGGCTGTCCCTGAGTTCAGGGTGTCATGAGTGTAGGGGCGGCTGCAGGACACTTTCCCTGGGGTCTGGGAACACAGCAAGGAAAGGAGGGTCCTCTGAAGCCACTTCTCCTTCAGGTGGGCCCATCCCTTCCACAGGGCACATCCACATTCCTGATCTCACAGCATCTACACAACAAACCACAGAGGAGACAGCAGAGCAACAAGGATTCTCTGGTTAACACATGCAGATAATGAGGCCCAGAGAGGGGAACTGACTTGCTCAAGGCCACACAGCAACTTAGGGCAGAACTGAAATTGCAACCCAGATTCGGACTCCCGGAGCAGTGCTTAGTTATGGAGCCTACAGCCTGTCTATCAGCAAATCTCTAGTGTGAAGGGGGTTCACGTGGGGACCCACCACACACACACACATGATAGGGTGCCCGGGGGAGTGCATCGGAAATGCAAAATTAAATGCAAAACTCTTGTTAGATAGCAGAGTCATTTTCAAAGCCAAGTCAGCCTGGCCTTAACACCATGCACCATTTTCTCCTTCAAGCCCAGAGGTCTCACAGCAGGAGACGGGAGGCTCTGAGGGGCAGGGGTAAGGAGCTGAGCCAGTGCAGAAGCCGTGCTGACCACTCTCAAGACAGCACCGGTGTCTGGCTTACCTACCATGTGCAGTGGGCTTGGTGAGTGGGAGACCCTTAATGCTTCAGTAAAATTGTATTTCTGGATTTCTGGGCATACAAAGCAGAGACAGGGTGGCACAAACAGAAGCAGCAATGGGCTTAGAACTGTGTTTGCCTTTTGCTTTGGTGCTTATTAGCTAGGGGATCTTCGGTGGGTGTCTTGACTTCAACAGGCACCAGTTTCCTCTTATGTCTCATGTGATAGTTATCACAAAGACTAAGTGAAATATTGTCCTTAAAAGCACTTTGCATAGTGTCTGGTATGCAGCAGTTGCTCAATAAACACTAGCTTCCTTCTCCTGGCCCCCGGACCTATTGATGCTCCAGTGTTTGCCACCTCATGAGGCCCTACCCAAGTAGCTGAGCTGCCCTTGACATTGACTCGTAGCACGGACTGAGCCCCTAGTGATGTGAGCAATCTCTGGGACTTCATAAAGGAGGGGAGAGTCAGACGCCCTGGGATTTGGAACCACATTCTGTGAGCATGCCAGGACGCTTTCTCCCTGTCTCCCTTGGGATCTGCATGAGGAAGCCTATGCCCCACTAAGGTGCTATGGGTGACAGGGACCCTCCTGAGAGTGAGCCGGAGGACGGGGCTGGGTGGCAGGACCTTTGGAGGTGGTGGTGGAGGAAGAACAACATTCCTGAGCATTCAGTCTGCAAGTTCACCGGACCCGGCATTCTCTCACCCGCCCTGGACACCAGCCTCCGGCCACATCCCCCCAGGGACTCACCGGCATCATGACCCCTCGATCTCCTTTGGCACCTTTGGGACCATTCAGTCCTGGTCGACCCTGGAACCCACAGGAGACACCTTAATAAACCCACCGCCCATAGGCCAGCCTGGCCCATATGTCCTCCCCTTCCATCCTAAGGAACACTGATACCTACAGGTCGTCCGGGGAGGCCAAGTTCTCCTTTGTGTCCTGGTGGTCCTTTGGGCCCCTAGAGGCAAAAAAAACACCAGGTCAGAAACTCTGGGTTCAGAGAGATGGGGGCTGTCAGCCTGCTTCTGTGGGCAGTGATGACAGTGAGCCACCGACAGGAGGAAGGGGGCAAGGAGCAATGATAGTACCCACCTGCCCGGCTCCCTGCCTCCGGCCTCTGTGCTCTCAGCCAGAAGCACCTGCTCAGCCCCATACCGCGCCCTGCTTTCCTGCAGGCTCCGGCCCAGCCCAGACTCTGGACCCAGCCCCTCAAAGTCGGGGCTCACCGAGCAGCAAGAGGTCAGAAGCCCAGGGCCTCAGCTCCCTGGTAGCTGGGTGCTGGCCAGCCCAGAACGTGGACCTCTGCCCTAGGTGTCAGGTCTCAGGGCTCGCCAGATCCTGCATTGTGAGTAATGCAGCCCTGGCTCACCCCCCAGGCCAGCTCTGCCTAATAACTCGCTCTGGGATTTGCTTCCTGCCATGCTCCGACCTGTCCCTATGGACCCTATCTCAGTGCTGGCTTTCCAGCTTCACGTGCTTCTAGAGCCGCTGTTCTGTTCCAACCTCCTTCGGGAACCCTCCTGCCTTCTGGCATCTGGGATGCAGACCACTTGGCTGACAATGCCACAGATGATTGTCTCTTCCTAGAACATGTTCTGCTTCTGATCTGCACCTTCCCACTCCTGTAGCTGGGTCTGCCCTATCTCCTGGAGGAATGAATGCTTTAAGCCTGGGGCCCTCCAAGGTGCTTCTTCCTGTTACCATGATTTGCCCTGAAAAATGGCAAATAAAAACTGAGTTGAAACAGGTTTGGTGTGTAAAGTACCCAGTCCATATTGCTCTTAGGGAAAGAAAAGCAAAGGTAGAGGGTTAACAGGGCATAGGCCACTTGGTCATTATGTTCTAGTGCAACACCTCCCAAATGTCAATGTGCATGAGAATCACCTGGATCTTGTTCAAATGGAGACCCAGTGTGTCTGAGGTGGGGCCAGAGGTTCTGCATTCCTAAGAAGCTCCCAGGTGAGGTCAGTGATGCTGGTCCATGGACCATACTTTGAGTAGGAAGATTCCAGTGAATTTGAAAAGGAGTTGAAAGCTATGCTAGTCACCAGGGCCACAGCTAGCCCATATGGCACCTTTATGCAAATTAGAAGGTGCCCCTTACTGCCTGTGTTTGGCAAGCTGTGCACAAGCTGTGCCTCGCTGGGAGCTGCTGGCCACCATTGCTAGCTATTTGTATTTTCCATAATATTGGAGGTTAGTAAGTAGTTAACCAGCGGTTAACACAAGACTCTCCCAATCTGTCTTAGCCCCCACTACCCCACTCCTGGTGTCTGTTCTTTGGTCCCTTAAGTCCACTCCGACTTAAGGTCCCCAAGTCCATCCTGACTTAAAGGACCAAAGGCCTCAGAAGGTCTTTTGAAGGACACACATTGGCGGTTATGGGCCGTTCATCAAGTACGCATGTCTGTTACAGAAACATGAGGTCCTTTCTCCCCAGGCTTGAGATCAGCTGTAACCAGACAAGCCCCATGTACAGTTCTATCAAGGGCAGCTTGTCCACTGGAGGCAGCGGGGTGTGGGGGAAAGAGCCTGGACCCAGAGTCCGACAGGCTGGCCTCAAATCCCCACTCTGCCACTTAAGCTGTGTGACAGCAGGCAGGCTATTTAACCTCTTTGAGCCTTGGTCTCCTCATCTATAAAACAGGGGTTCTGATATTTACCTCTTAGGATTGTGAGGATGAAATGAGATGAAATATATGAAGTTTCAGAAGTGTCTGATCCTTAGCAGAGCTTCTACACCTGAACTTGCTTTGTTTTTTGGGGACAGTGGGGGGAAATACACGACAGGGAAGTTTAGGGTTTACCCTTGAGAGAAACGGGCTATTGAAAAGCCCACGTGGGTTATAGATTACTAGAACAGTAAGGCCAGAAGGGCCCTAATACCATCTGGTACTAATCCAATCCCTTCAACACACAGATGGGTACTCAGAAGCCCAGAGAGAGAAGAGGGCTTGCTCGAGGTCTCACAGCAAATGAGTAGCAGATTCAGGACTAGAATCCAAAAGCCTAGAGAGATTTCGTGGGGTTCCTCTGAGGGGCTCCCTGGGCAGCTGGCAATCTTTAGCTGACAAGGGCTGCGGTATAACTGTGAGCGCTCACCACCACCCGGCTCTCCCCTCCTTCCTGGACACACAGAGTAACCACATTCTGGGGCCCCAGGCATCTGAGTTCTGGCCAATGGAAGGTGCCAGAAGTGATGTTCATCGTCTTCCACAGTCTCTTCCCCCTCCCCAACCTCAGCCTGTCATCCGGAAGACCCCAGCGTGACCTTGAATCCACAAGACGGCAGAGTGTTGGAAACATCCTGGGTCCCTGAGACACTGCTTGCAGGAGAGATGCCCAGTGGGAACAACCACCGTGGCCTTTGCAAGGGTGAGAAATAAGCTGCTATTGTGTTAAACCACTGAGATCTTAACTTAATTACAGCTAGCCTATCCTAATACATTTTGCCACATCCTTTGAATTTTCACAGCTGGGACAACTAAATGCAATGGAACCAGAGTATGAGAAGTGCTTCAAACCCCAGTGCAGACCCAGCTGAGACATGCCCCGGCTTACCATTGGTCCGGGGGCCCCGTGCACTCCAGGTTCACCCTGAAACAGGAAGACATGTACTTGTCACTCAGAGGAATGCTGTATGAGGCAGAAACCATGGGAAGCCAAAGCAGATATGTGTCTCCAGGGTCTGGTGACATAATTACCTTTTTCCCCATCAGCCTTTCCAGAGGAACGTCCCCCGTCAGGATGGCACCTGGTTCTCCTTTCTCGCCCTACAATTCAGAGAAGCTGTCAGTGAAGTCGGGCCTCCTCCTTGCCACCTTGTCCAGAGGTTCACAAAGACCCCTCAGTTGTACCGCCATGATTTATTTCTCTTGCCTTCCCATCCCTGACCCCACCGCTACACGTTACCTCTCACTACAGTATTGCGACAGCCCCCTAAATGAATGGATGTTCCCTGAGCCATCCCCTCCACGCGCCGTCAGAGTTACTGTCCTAGCACACGGGCTGTGGTCTTCCGCGCCCCTCCAGGGCTCCCACTGATGGCAGATCTCCATCCTCACCCTCAGCGCCCCAGCATCCAGCCCCAGCTCGGTCCTGTCTACCTTTCCCTACGTGGTGCCCTCAAGGCACCGCTGGCTCCTAATACATGTGGTAGCTTGTTTTCCTAGCAACTTGACTTGAGATCTGTTCCCACCAAGAATATTTATTCTTGTCAGAACACCTGAAATTAGGCAAGAGATGAAGGTATAATCATTAGAGCCTCTCTCAACACAGAGGCACCAAATCTCCATGTGCAACTTTGTCTCCAAACTCCAGGCTCCTGTGCCAACACTTATACTGTTAGGCAAAGCTATCCTAGATGCTGGGAAATAGGAGATGGGCAGACTGGTGGCAAGGACACAGGATCTTGCTCCCAATCATGTCCTCAGCAGAGCCATCTACTATTTCAGAAGGCTTCTGAGAAGATACATGTCCAGAGAACAAAGCCAAGTAGAAAAACCTCCTATGTGACTCCGAGGCTTTGGCCCCAGACTTCAGTGCTGGCTCCTGGGGAGCTGGGCTGAGCCGCACAGAAGCCTCCTTTCTACGGGCTGAAAGTGGCCAGGGCAGTGGGACCAAAGCAAGCAGAGCAGCCTCTTCTCTCCATCCCCCTAAGCCCACACCTGGTATTTGGGTCTTACCACTCCGCTGGTGAGGAAAGGCAGTCCCGAGCACGCCAGCAGTGAGAAGAAGCAAGCACAAAAGCATCAGAGGCACAGAGAGAGAAAGCGTGTTTGCTGCGATGACCGGAGCAGAGCTGCTGGGCGCCCATCCCAGTCATTCAAGGTGGCAGGGGGCTAGGGACGGGGTGTCACGTTGGTCCTTCTAGATCCACCTGACCTCACTACACAGGAAACAGAGTCTTTAAAGCAAGAGCTGCTCTTGCTTGTCTGGGCCTCCTATCAAGCCAGAGCTGCCCCAACCCCATTCCATCTCTGCAGGAGATGTGGCAGCAAAAGCATCCCAAGACGTCACCTCCTTGTGGTGCCAAACCTTTGCCCACACACCGAGCACAACCTCCACACCCTAGAACAGGGGTCCACTGGATATGGGAACCTTTCTCCTCCTCTTTGGAGGCCATTGTAGACTGGCGGGGAGAGGAAAGGAGGAGAGACGCCTAAGCTCCCTCCTCCCACAGAGCACACCCACCCTCCTGACTCTCCAGGGCAGGCTCAGGGGGTCGCACAGTTCTCCCACTGGCTCTGTACCGACCTCCCTTCCAGCAGTGAGCATGCTCTGTCAGCTCTTTGCATGTGTTCCTCACATCTATGTCTGTACCCCAGTGCCTAGTACTGGCGGGCACACCTTAGGGCAGCTATGACTGAAAGATGGATGAATACACAAATGGGTGAGGGGATGAGGGAATCGCATCTAGAGTCTTTGCAACCTGTTTATGGATGTCACTCTCCCCTTACCTATAAAAACCAGCTTGGAAGTTAATTCTAAGAGGCAAACACAGAAGGGTACAAAGATCAGTTTGATAGCCTGGGAGCTCTCAAAAAGTTCTCTGGATGCTAAATATCGACTCCAAAGATTTTGGACCAAGACTGTCATCCAATTGAAGAATGTCCCAACTTATAATTTACATTTATTAACATCCATCCTATTCATTAATTATACATTCTTTCATCCAATGAGCATTTTGAGTACTATTTGCATACCCTGTGCTAGTATGGGAGCTATGGAAAAGCAGCTGGCGCGATGCCTGTCCTCAGGGAGCACACACTCCAACGGGGACGCCCCGCGGGTGGTTGGACAAAGCACACAACACATGATAACAGCATTCAAGGGAGTGTCCAGTTGAGTTCTCGTCCTAAATTATGGTGAAAATCAATTTCACCACCTATGGTGTACCTTTTCATCTCATGGAGGAACCTCGACATTCTACTAATAAAAGTTAACAGCTGGAGAATGACTGCTAACAGGTATGGGGTTTCTTTTCAGCATGATGAAAATGTGCTAGAATTAGATAGCGGTGATGGCTGCACGACCTTGTGAATCTACTAAAAATCACTGCATTGTACAATTTAAAGGGGTGAGTTTTATGGTATGTGGATTGTATCTCAAAGAAGAAAAATGTTAACAGTTGCTTTCAGCCAATTTGAAATGGTTGGCAAATTCCAGAGCCCAGTCCCACCCACCCACCTGGGCCTCTCTCACCTGTTCTCCTTTTAGTCCTGGAAATCCAGGCACGCCAGTGTCACCTTTTGGTCCTCTAGGGCCCTGGAAGGAATAGTTGTAGGGTATTTTGTTGTTTAGGATTAAAATGCTCTAATTAATTAGAAAAGATTTTGTTTTCAAAAAGTAGAATAGAGCATGCCATTCCCCAGGCAAGTGGAAATCATGATGAGCCACGAGCTATTGTCTTAACTTTAAGTGGCCCAGAAATTGCCATCTGGTGGAAGGAAGACAGCACTGAGTGAGGAGGCCGGGAGGCCCCACGCCTCTTTGAACATTGGTTTCTTCCAACTGGTGCTACTGACACAGTCTATTATCTGGTCCTGCTGCCTCCGCCTACCTGACAGCTCCCCCAGCCCACCCAGCAGCCTGCCTCCTGCATTCCCGTTATAGGACTCCCATCCCTTCTCTGTTCTCCCTGCCTATGAGATGGGACCCAGGCACCCTCGTCTGACACCCCAGCCCGCCGCAGCCAGGCCTCACACCTCACCTTCTGCACCACCAGGGCTGCCTCCTTCCCCTCGGCCTCTCTGCACTGCCCGCTCTGCCCCAGAGCAATGCCCGGCAGGAATGCCCACCCACCCCTCTGCAGAGCCGGCCAGAGGCGACGACCTCTTCTCAACTCCAACACAGACATGAAAGTCTGTGACAATGACTCACACGGCCACAACGTCTGTCCCAAAAAAACATTTCAACACTTTATTGCTATTTAACTTTTCACAAGTCCCTGTCTTGTCTTCTGGGTAAAAGGGTGAGCTACCCATTATAGCAGTGACTTTCAAATATTTGTTGTAATTATTTATTGTGAAACTCTTGTCTCTCCTTTTTTTTTTTTCAAATAAAGTCTTAAATGAAAGCCTGATATATAAAATATGTCAAATGGAGCTCCCCTGATTGGAAGTCGGTGGCCTCCACACAGGATCCTGCCTGTGTGGCCCCCTCCTTACTCTCTGCAGTGGTCCTGGAGGGTCCCCGTGGAGCCTGGGACTCCCTCAGGAACATAGAACCACTCATTTAGAGGAGAATATGTTCTAGAACATTCCCCAGGGCTTGGAGCAGCCAAGCAGGGCTGGATCTCAGAGGTCTTGCCCCTTCTGCTAACCAGCATGTCTTCTCATGGCCACATTCTTCCGTTTTTTGATGTCTAGTTAACATGTACTTTTAGTGTCATCATAGGGTATGCTCCTTTAGAAAATGTAAAAAGTTCAGCAAATTATAAAGAAATAGAAAAAGAGACCACTTATAATTTTCCACCATCAAGAACAAAGGTCTCTTACATTTGTGACAGGTTTCCTTCATTTATCTGGAAGCAGCACGTGGCACCGGTTGGCATTTCAGAGGTGCAGTGGCTTGGAGAAATTGTGCAGGTCCCACCTTGAAGGCAGACCCTAGGCCTCAGCACAGGCCCAAACTTTTAGACAAAACTAATCACTTTCTATGCAGAAATGCGTTTTTACTTTCCAAGGCGAAAACCCCATCAAGGTGTACGTAGGCTATTAATTATCAGACTTCTATTCCATGGTGCACCTCCCTTCCCACTCTCCCTTGCCACCATCCTATCTCTCTAGGCACTTTATCTACTGGGACTTTATCTACTTGAAATGCTTGACTCATGCACTCGAATTCAGAGCAAGCCAACTGCTGGCTCAGGCTTCAGTTGGTCTGGGGGAAGAGATGCGAGTGAGACCCAACTCTCCATCATTGTTCATAGAACAGGCAAGGGAAAAAAGACAAGGACACAAACTACTGTTATTTAAGGCAGAGAAGAGCTACAGGAATGGTGACAATAAAGGTCTACAGGACTCAAAGCAGGGGACACTTCCAGGCATCCCCTGGAAGCAATGAGAAAGGTTGATCAATAAGATGGCGCTAGAGTGTGGTCATGTAGAGACGGAGGAAATGCCATTCCAGGTGGAAGGAACAGAATGAGCACAGCCACAGGACACAGATGGGAAGATGGCTATGGTGGTACTTACTGGAAATCCTGGCAGCCCAGGCGTACCGTCTGGCCCCTGTGACACACCAAAACAAAGCATGCGGGATTAGGGTCAGCATTTCCCAAGTCAGCAAGAAACTGTGCCTGGGGCCCACTCCCTCCCAGCACCTTCCAAAGGCCTGAGCATGTTCCTCCACGCAGAGGGGGATGAGGCCTGGGAGGGGGAGGAGCCCTGCAGGATCACACAGCTAGTGAGGGCCCGAGGTAGAAGCTGCGCCTGGGTACCCAGAGCCACTGCGCCTCCCTGGAGCCAGAGCTCAATGCTTTGTCACAGCCTCTCCCCCAGGAAATTGCTCAACGTTTGACATCTCTGGGGGTGATGAAAACAGCCTCAGGCCCCCGATAAATAAACTCTGAGGAGTAGGGTCAGGGAGTGGGCTGGGATATTTGGGGTGGAAGAAAAGAACTACTGGAGTAGTTCTTTTAGTTTAGGGATGTGTTGGAGGGACTCAGTTCTTTTCCCTTAGTAGGAGTGAGAATTTTAAAGGACCAGCCAGTTTAAAGTACCCAGGACACAGAGAGTTTGCGCTTCACGCCACAGGGGGCCGGGACTCTTCTTCCTGACAACCTGAGACACTTGCAGCTATTAAAGGCATACGAGTTTGGCAGAATCTATCTATCTATATATGTATGTAGAGAGAGAGAGAGAACACCAGACAGTGACAGGTCTCTCCCCACACTGTATACATCACGGGCTGGAAAAGCATAAAGGTGACATCCATGACTTGAGTCCTCTCAGAGAGGGAGCTGCCACTGAGTAGGATAAAGCTTGATCCAGCTGTGTTTTCAAGGGGCACCTTGAAGGTGTGGATTCGCCCAAGGGGAGGGCAGTGAGTGGAAGGAGGTGGGGAAGAGAGAAGGGGTGCAGGCGTGGTAATGCCGGGACTACTAGAACAGATGCCCCATCTCTGGATTTACACGGTCAGTGTGTTGCTTTAGTACCAACCCACCTAATGCCCTAAACCTCCCATAGTCTGGGGAAAACAAAGACCCACTGTGAACAGACTTGTTTGTTAGCGGGTTTGTTCTAGGGTTTGATTACTGGGGTGTTTTGGATTATCTGTTTTAGCGGAAATCAAGGAAAGGGAGCCCACCATCTCCTTTGGCACCCTTGAAGCCATGCGATCCTGGGTGACCCTGGCACCCACAGGAGACACCTTAGTAAGCCCACTGCCCACAGGCCAGCCTGGCCCCCGTGTCCTTCCCTCACGTCCAGTGCAAGAAACACTGACACGCTCTCTCCCCCGCTGGCCAGCAGGTGCTGGGAGATGCAACAGGGATCTGTATGCAGGCTGCAGGAGGAAGCTTCCTTCCTCTTAGCTTCCGTTGTGCCAAAGACACAAGTCCATTCTGTGGACTTGCAGAAATAATGCGTCTTCTTTGTGTGTTACTTTCCTGATCTTAAAATGGGGCTAGACAAATTGAAACAAGTCACACTCCCTCCTCATGCTTCAGTTTCCCAAGAGCACAACGATAGGTCTTTCTAGGCTCTTTCTGGTCTGTGAAATAAGATAATGTGAGTAAAAATAGGCAAAAGTGTTGCACAGGTGTCAGTTTGTTTTTTACCAAGGACCCTCTGATTTCCATTACACACAATTCTGATGTATCGGACCAGAAGCTTCCACTGCATCGGACAAAACTCTCCACATGATCAAATTAATGTGACAGTGGCTTTTCAAAAATGCAAAGTTCTCTTTCCATTCTCCTTCGATATACTCTAGTTCTATGCTTCAGGAGCTAACGGATTCCAAAACCAGTCCAACTTTGCTAGAACAAGGATATGTGGGTAGGAACCTCACTCCAGGGCAGCTGTGGATACAAACCGGAGGCCCTACAAGCTCAGGAATGCCCGACAAGTTCATGGATCCGTGGGTGATGTTGATCAAAGACTGAAAAGAGAAAAATCAGACAATGAGGACAAAAGATGGCATGTGTCCCGCCTTGCTCCTGGCAGCGAGGCTTTAACTGAAGCCGCCCAGCATGGCAGAGCATGGCAGCCACTGAGAATGCTCCCAGCCCTCTGCCAAGTACACCCTCCCTCCCACTTCCTAGAAAACAGCCCTGAGCTGCCTTAGCACTTTCCTCTTTTAATTCATTTTAAAATTACACAATACATGAATGTCTTCTCTCTTTTAAGATTTTAAAAATATATATATGTATAGCTGTAGAAAGCACATAGTGTTGGGATATGCGTGTGTGTGTGTGTGTGTGTGTGTGTTTTGTCCATGTGGTTATTTTACATAAATGGCACCAGGCTGTATGTATTATTCTTCAACTTGTGTTTTTCACTCAACCATATTGTGTAGAGATCGTTCCATGTGGAATTTCAGAGTGTGGATATTTTTAGCTTTAAGAGACTGCCAAGGAGCCGTCCAAAGGGGCCATACAGTTTACACTTCTACCAGAAGCACACGAGATTACATTTTCTCCACACCCTACCCACACTTGGTATTTTTTAATCATACTTTTTTTCCTCTTTAACTTTAGACATCCTTTTTCCAGTTATTTGGAGCTTTTTGTCTTTCTGTTGTCTATCAGCATGATGTTATTTCTCTAGAAGGGCCACACTTTCTCACAAATGTGATGTCTCAATATTGGGTGGACCGTGATCTGGTCCCAACCCACATTCCAACCCTCTCAGCAGCGGACGCTGGCTGTGTGCCCCTTGCGTAAGCAGCAGCCCTGACGTGCGGACAATATTTTCTCCCCTTTAGCAAAGGCAGGAAACGTGTAGGCAAGCTCCGACCTGGATGGTACTCACACTCGACAAGAACTCCACGCGCCCAGGTGGCCCCCTGGGCCCAGGGGGTCCCACAATGCTGGCTCCATCCATCCCCCTGTCACCCTGGTTACAGCAGCGAGAAGTGAAAACAAAAATCACTGTATGTGGATAATGTTCCTAGAACCAGGCTGGAAAGTCCTCCCACCCCCACCTCCGGATTGACCTCACCTTGGGTCCCCTCTCTCCTTTCTCTCCTTTGGGACCCTGGCAAAACAAACAGATACATGATTATTCTTCCAACCGCTTTTCTCACACTCCATCTCTCTTCTCGTCTTGCCATCTCGCCCCAGGCTCTCTCGCTGATTTCCTCCGTGCAACAGGAAGAAAGGATGACGGGCAAATTCCCCGTCCAGAGTCAGAGAGCGACAGGATCAGAGCTATTAAAAGATGCAGCTGAGAGAAGCGTCTGCCAGGAGCACAGGGTGTTGAAATGGGGCAACAGGAGGGCGGCGATGAAGCAGAGATGCTTGGTGGTAAAGGACTGGGGAGGGAGATGGGGACAGAGAAAAACAGATGAAGAAAGACAAGGTGGGTTTCAAGTTTTCTTCCCACATGATGTTCTGTGCAAAACTCCCGGGCTGCTTCTCAGAGAAACAGGCCGCAAGTGGCACCTCGTCTCCCCGCTGCACAGCTGCGGGCTGGAGGCACTGAGAAGGAGAGTTATTGAGAGAGGTGAGCCAGGATGCACCCACAGTCCCCTCGCTCTACTGTGGCAATCCTCATACTGAAGGTTCCACAGTCAACCTACACTAGGAACCACAGGTCCGGAGATTCTGGGTTCATGCAGCAGACTGATACTTCCAGAGCCTTCAGTATCCTGGGGAAGGAGGAAGAATGAGAATTTCAGATCCAATTTCTGAGTGCCCACTTGTGCCAGGTGTGCTGCTGGGAGTTGGGGGCTCCGAGGGGAGCTGGCACAGCTTCTGCCCTTGGGCCAGCGTTCAGCCAGCTGGTCTTTCCCGCAGCCCTTAATGCACATTGTTCTTTAACCATCACAGAAAGGGAGGAAAGTACCTCAAATCCAAGTCCCATTGCACATCCAGGGCCTGGGGGACCAGGGGGACCAGGAGGCCCTGGGGGTCCCATGATCCCAGGAGTGCCAACTTGTCCATTTTTCCCTGGGGGCCCTGGTAAGCCTCTGTTGCCAGGGTCACCCTGTAAGGAAGAGGAAAGGCTGATTACCCAGCCCTGGGTTCACTCATGGAAGGAACAACAGCAGAAAATCACTCTTGGAAGTTAATTAGGTTGATGAATTCTCTGATCGCTACTGCTTAATGGTACAGAAACGGCTGTCTTGCTAATTGACATTTACTTGGAGATGGGCTGACGCACTCGTCTGAATGCATTTGTAGGGAGGGGTGGGGAAGGAGGAAACAGGGAAGGGTGTTTAATCCCCACCATCCCAGCTGTTCTGCCTTCCCCAAGCCATTCCTTTGAGACGTGTTTCTCTCTGCTCCGTGACACTTATACATTCAATACTCCAGCCCAACAGTCCAATTATAGTAAACCCAAAGAAAGGGGAGTCAGAAGGGAGGAGAAAGCTTATTTCTTTTTTTTTTTTTACCTTTTCACCAACTGAGCCATTGGGCCCTCTTGCTCCCTGAAAAAAACAAAAACAAGGGCCAATTAATATACATCTCATTAGGTAGGTTTAGAAGAAAATGCAGAACTATGGACTCTTAAGTAATAGGATGTTAAAATGGGACTCTTTCTGTCTGGTTCTGCCTGATGTCTCCAAGCTGAGCACATTATAATAGAGGCCAGTCTGCTAGGCAAATCTTGCTGGAAGCTTGTGAAATCCACTTTTCAGCCATCAGCTCATCACTTTCCTCAAGAGTAAACCAGAGAAGCTGAAGATTAACCAGAGAGAGGTCACAGAATCCCCTTGCAAAGTCATCAGAACCCTGGGGTGGTCCCCTCCCGCATCCCTCCATGACAGAAGTAAAGGGATGTTTCCCCTGCTCTGAACCAAGGGAGGGGCTTCAAGAACTGCTATCTATCCCCCAGACTTTTGGAGATATGGGGGATGATGACTGACTCTCTTCTGGAAAGATCTAAAGATGAAACGTTGGCTGGAGTAGCCCCCAGGGGACAGAACAGGGGAGGGGTTACACATCCACCCCCAGTGGGGACCACACTACAGTCTCCTGGGGGGCTAGATGTGGATCCCACAGAAAGGAGCCAGCTGTGAGCTCCAGGCAGGGGAAAGAGCAACAGGCGGCGGGAGGGGTCAGCTGCAGGTCACTGCCCTACATCAGAGGACTGCAGTGGGGCCCCCAGATGGAGACTCTCTGAGGAAACCACAAACGCACCTGTGAGAGAAGAAGCCAGCAGTTGATGGACACACAGAAGGTCCTGACACTGACTATGGTGTATCAGCCATCTGAGACTGTGCCCTTCCCCCAGTCCCTGTTGTCCCTGGGCTCGAATCCCCTCCATGCATCAAATCCATAGGAATGACAGAATGAGTAGTTCTAAAACAGCCACGCTCAAAAATAAGACGGGGATCCACACTGGATCTGAAACAGGAATGCCAATGGGAAACAGACGGGGAAACTGAAGACAGGCTCAGCCACCGAGAGAAACCGCGGGAAGAAAGATCCCTGCACAGAGGTGGCGGGAGCCAGGCGCAGGGCATGGCCATGGGCAGTAGGCAAGGGGACACCCTGAAATTCTGCAGCATTAGCCAGCTCGGTGGCACACACCTGTAGTCCCAGCTACTCGGGAGGCTGAGGTGGGAGGATCACTGGAGCGCAGGAGTTGGAGATTACAGTGAGCTATGATCTCACCACTGCACTCCAGCCTGGGCAACAGAGCAAGACCCTGTCTCTTAAAAAATACTATAGAAATTCTGCAGCAGGCCAGACATCCAGCTCACCTTCTCCTCTCTTCTCCCACCCACTCCTGCTGAGGAGCAACTCTGGGTGCCTTAATTTTAGAAGAACAATAAGAGTTGCTTGTTGGGGCTAAGAGATGGGGCAGAGCCCCAGGTGACTCTGGGAGGTCCAGTGGCACCCCAAACTCGGAAGATCAGCTGCCAAGGTGCCCAGCTGATGGCACAACCCACTCCTTCCACTCCCTTCCTGAAACCTGCAAGTCTCAGAAATAGCTACTGCTCACCTCCCCAAAGTCTGCACAGAGGCAGAAAACAGACTAAAGTGGACCCCAATTTTAAAAGCAAACACAAGCAAGAAACACCAAACATCTGAGGAAAGGCAACACTATGAGAGACAACAAAGTCAACCACAGAATACACACCAGAGGAAACAGAGTTAACAAAACAATGCAGTCAGCACTTTAAGTAAACAATGTGTGCTCTCGGACAGAAAAGGGAGGATGAAACAAGGATAAGCTATTGTGAAATAAGAACAATGGTTATGAAAGAGAACCAATTAGAGATCTTGGAAACAAAAATATAAAACTGTTGAAGAACTCCACAGAAGGACTGAATAACAACAGGCACACTAGAGGAAAGAACTAACACAGAGACCAGGCAACAGAACTCTCAGAAAGCAACACAAGAAGATAAAGCCCTAGAAAGATTAAATAAATAGTTAAGAGATACAGAGGACAGAACCAGAAGTTCCAACATCTGTGCAATTTCAGTGGCAGAAGGAGTGAATACAGAGAATAAAGAGAAAGCAGTATTTTCAGAAAACATAGCTGAAAATTTCTGAAAGAAACCACAGAAGTCTCCAGATTAAAGAGCACCCTCTCTCCCTACCCCTAAAAGGGATCATAGAGTACCAAGAAGGATAAATGGAAGAATAAATTTTGAAAAGAATCCACATGTAGTTACCATGCAGGGGAATTTCTCGATACTAACAATAAAGAAAAATAAATCTCCAAATCTGCCAAAGAGAAAAGTCCAATGACCTTCGACACACAATGTGAGAATCAGAGCGAAATCTGACTTGTGTTTGGCAGCACTGGGTGCTGGAAGACGGTGGAGAGCATCTCCAAATCACCAAGCGCGAATGACTCTGAACCTAGGGTGCTGTACCCAGGCAAATGAGAACAAAATAAAGACATTTAAGAATTTTTAAACATCCGAGGTCTCAGAAAGATCTATGCCATCTATAGATCTCTGAAAATATGACTAGAGGATCTATTCCCACAAGAATAATTAAAGAGGAAATAGGGCACAGGAGGCCTGTTTCCTCTTTAAAAATGTGTTCATATGCTATTTTTATAATTAAAATTTAATTAGAAAAAATGCCTAGAGTTGCTCTGTCCTGCAACCTAACAGCCCTGAAGCACTTCCCCAGAGTCCCATGCTTCTGCCAGGACACAGTCAGGGAACAGGGGGCTAACTCAGCTTGCAGGTGCCTTCCAGCTCTGACCCTCTGGAACCCCAGTTGAGGATGAGCCTAAACCCAGCCCTTGGGGTAAAGGAGAAAGGAGAAAGGTGAGCCCATGGCTGCCCAGCAAAAAGACCTACACACCATGGGCAACCAACACACAGCAATCTCCTTGGCTCCTTCGCAGACCGGAAGCCCATGCTCTTTGCTTGGAGGCTGCGCTACCCTTCCTCAGGGACCTGGCTGCCCTCCTGGGTGAGGTTCGTGGATCTGCCAGGTGAGGGCTGCCGCATGATGCTGGAGGAAGACAAATGCCTCACATATGGAGGCATGCACGGGACGTGGGAAAGGTTCTGTCTCTTGCAATGACAATTCCTTTGTTTTCCTGTTGGGAGACCCTACCCAATCCTTGGCCTTAGGAGTGGGGACTGCAGGGGTGAGGATGGGGTAGGCCCTGGGCCTCTAGGAGGAGGCACCTGGCTCTGCAGGCAGGAAGGGTGATGATGGAGTGGCATGGAATTGCTGCAATCAAAGCCCTCTGCAGGGGCCCCTGAGGCAGCCTCAGGGAACCTTGGCAGCTCCCTGGCACAGGAGCCATGGGGGGCCATTCTGAGATGGGAGGTGGGAGGAGCCGGAGTGTTCAGTGAAGGCAGTAGCAGCCGCTGGGCCCAGCCACCTTCCTGCTCCACCAGGGAGAAACTAAGCGTGACCTTCCACTCAAATAATTGGGTTCCCATGTTGTTGCCTAAACCAGAGGCTACAGTTTCTGTGTCTGCTTCTCTTGGGTGTGACTGGTCACGCTGTCGCCTACTGCCTGTTGCCATCTGCCCTTGACGGAAGTGCCAACCTTATGTGTCTCTCCAGTAACAAGTTAAACCACCATTGGGGCTATTGTGAAATAGAATCTAAAGTAGCCTCATCGCTGAAAACCTTATAGTTGTGTTGCCAGTTGATGCTGTTAAAGAAAATGATGTCTAGAAAGTAAAAAACTGTATTTTTTGACTTGCCTTCTCTGTTCCTTTCAAATCAAGAGTGCATCTGTAGGAGTCTCAAAGGAAATTCTAGAAGATACTTTGGATCTTGATTTATCTGTCTTAGATGATTTTCTCCAGCTCGTACATGGTAAAAAGATAGTATTTGGATCTATTCCATTGGCTCACAGATACGGTGGCCATCAGTTTGTAACATGAGCAGATCAGCGTGGGGGTGGAGGAGCCCACCCACCTTACTAGAATTCCTGTGAACAGACAGGGTGGAAAATGGGAGCTCCAATGAACAGGCTCACACTCCCCAAAGGGTGGTGGTGGAGTTGTGCATCCTTTCTTAATGAGAGAATTGTTGTGCAGTGAGGCCATGCACTTTCTCAGAATTCCAACTGGCAGAGCTGCAGGTGTGGTTGTAAGTGGCAAAATACAGAGATACCAGTTCCACAATGGAAACCTTGCAATGAATGAGGAATAGTCGTGCTGCATGTTGCAAAATCATGGTTTAGAACTCACTAAATGTTGGCTCATTATGGTGAACTGGATTTACTAAGGACATTACCAGGTTTCAGCACACAGGAACATCAAAGAACCTAACGGATACATGGATTTTTTTTCTTATTGTGACATTTGAGACAGCACAACTTACTGCCTTTTGGATGCCTGTTGGTTTCGTGCCTGGTGTTTGTAATACTGATAACCAGGCTGTTATCCATTACAATTGACTATGGTCTATTTGATTTTACAGAGTTCTATCATCCAGATGTTGTACTGAACACTACTGATGATGAAAAAGGATATAAAATGGAACATGTGTCATTTAAACATGTCGTTACAAGCTCTAAACCCATTACTGAATCCTAGGCAAAAGCCGCTTGCGGCTCTGTTCTTTATTATACAAGATTTAAAGAATTGTGCACAGACAAATTGGGATTACTCGGAGAAAGGGAAGATGATAACAATTCAATCGCACTTCTCATACATCTTATGGGAGAGACAGAAGCTGATTTGACAATGACAGTTCAGCAGCACAGTGAAATTACTCAAAGGTAGTTACTGGGAACTCAATGTTCCTCAGCAATTCTGGGAACTAAGGAAAATTTCCAAGCATAAACTCTTGCCTGCCCAAGTGTCCTGGTACCTTTTGAAACTGCAGAATAACATGAATGGTTTAGATTCTGAAAGAAGAAAAACAGTGACCACTGTTACTCCTAGATATGTTCTGAAGAACCGCTGGCAGAATCTGCAGTGCAAAAAGCAGAAAGGAATGTTTTCTGCCATCTTCTCTGACAAATTCCTCAGCATTCTTTCCAGAAACATCTCCAGCTGAGAAGGCAGGCAACCCCTCACCTATTCCTTCTCGGGCTAAAGGTGTTAGCGTTAGCTGCTCCTCTTCATTTTGGAAAAATAAATTAAGGAATACTTCTATTGCTGAACTCAGCATACAATAATCTATCTGATAAATTCTTAATGACCATCCACATTTTGATCATAATCCAACATTTGATAATAATGATTATATATAAATTAAAATTTTTTCCACCTAAATAAGCCGAGCCTTATTCTTTGGCGGGGGGCGGGGCTGTGTGTGGGGGGAGGGTAACTCCACCTTAGATAACTGCCTAGACTGGTCTCTGTGCCCTGTTCATGAGAAGGGAGGCTGACTTCATCGAAGCGTGAGGAAAGACTTCCCTGCAAGTGGCTCTACCCAACCGTGGAAGGCACTGCCTGGACAGGGAGTGAGTTCCTTGTCACCGGAGGTGTGCAAGCTGAAAGGCAGATATTACGGTGTGGAATTAAGGGACAAATGGATCATTGGATCTTACATTCTGTTACATCCCTGAGATTGTTCATTTTCTTTAGCACATTTTTGTTATTTTACATCTAGAATATACTCCTTGCTTTATTTCTTTTCTTTTTTTTAAGGTAATGTCATGTGCAAGGTTTCCCTTCAGCAGATGCAAATTTCCAAGTCCTTCAAGGGTCAGCTTTTACTTGGTCAGAAAGCATCATATACACAAAGTTCAACAAACTGACACTCAGTAACTTTCAGGGAAAACCAAATAAACAAACAAGTGATGGATGCCAACAGCCATCCTGGACAAGCTTGCGGCTCTGTGCACAGCTGATTCCGGGAGCAGCTGCAGAGTGCGCCTGCGCGGTGCTCTGTGCGCAGCTGTGGGCATCTTTCAGTGCAAGACCGAGTACGGGAGGGCTGTGTGGGGGCGGGGTGGGGGAGGGAGGCGGTAAGAAATCAGGTAAGATGAGTGTAGGTCTGTGGTGTTTCCTGCAAAACTCAATTTCTCATGAAACAGTTGGTACATGTAAAATGAGTTTTTCAAAGTTTGACAATTGTTTCTTTTTCTGAGAAATAAGCTTTCCACGAAAATTGAGTTACTGTTTCAACTAAAATAAACACACTCAAGGGCTGATGGAAACTAGAAATGCAGTTCAGTGACGGTGGTGTCTAGTAAGTCAGCATTTTCCATGTCTTCATCCGTGAGGGGGGCACGGAAGGTCCCCTCATCCCATCCCAGCTGGGCTGGCCTCTGCCTCCTCTGACACCAGGAAAACCCACTGGCCACGTCCCTAGCACGAGGCTCACCTTGCCTGCATTGCCTCCCTTTGCCAGGCACGGCCTGTCTCACCAAGCAGGCTGGGAGCCCTGCAGGGGCAGGACTCACCGTCTCCTGACCCCAGCAGCACCAGCGAGGGCTGACAGACGGAGAAGGAAGAGAATGAAGGCAGGCCAAACTCTGGGAACAGCAGATGAATGGTGTCTGAGCAAGTTTCATTCATTCATCAGATGCTCAGAGGCCTGTGCAAGATTCTAAGGGTGCAGGGGCAGTCCTATGGCTCTACGTCAGGGTGAGGGTGAGGAGCAGACAGGTAAGAGAACACCTGTGCTGTCATGGCTAGGAAGGCTCTCACAGCATGAATATTGTGCTAATAGAAAGTGGAGAAAGGAGACTTTCTGCTCACAAAGCACTGGGGACGGCTTCCCAGAAGATGTATCTGAACTGGACCTTGGGGGACAAGGAAAACGATGTCCCAGACGGGGAGACGACCACGTGCAAAGGCCAAGAGGCTGGCGGGAAAGAGAGACAGCCAGTGCAGGCTGGGAAGGGCTGGAGGTCTGCACAGAGTGAGGGCTTGTCCTGCAAGCAGTGGAGCTCTGTGAGTTTTCTCAGTGGCCAGGGCAGTGACCGACAAAAGCCTGCTACAGAAGGTGGACGGGGCAGGAGGCCAGAGGGTGGAATGTGGGTGGACAGAACCGGGCAGTGATGAGGCGAGAAGAGATGAGGCCAGCTCAGGGGGAGAGAAAGGTGAGAGATCTGGAGGGCAGACTGGGCAGTCCGGGCAACTGACCCATCACAGCAGGAAGGGAGAGGAGGGAGGAGCTAGCGAAGACTGTTCACTGAAGCTGGGAACACACGGGAGTGGGCAGAATGAGTTCCGTGACAGGGACATCCAGCAGAGATGCCCAGTAGAGAGTCAGGCACATAAGAGGCAAGGTCTGGCAGAGGGGTCAGAGAGAGAGGAGTGGGCCTGGGGGCTCCCACGTGTTGGAACCTCCCATGTGCCCCATACCTTCTCCCCTTTCATCCCGGGAAGGCCGGTGACTCCATCAACTCCAGGCTGTCCTTTGGGGCCCTGGGAACAAGAGTGACAATCAGTCCACAACATCTCTGCTAAGATTCACGTATAAACCCTTCCTAGGAAAGAAAGACAAGCTTGGGAGTGGGTGAGGCTGGTGGGCCCAGGGCCTGGTGTCAGGTCCAAGGCAGAAGTACCAGTCCCTAGCCCCAGCTGGGCCACTGCTGACTGTGCACCTGTGTCCTTTGCTCCTTGGGTCACATTTCCTCCTCTGTGGGCAGGGTTAGACTAGATGGTCTCCAAGGGTCTCGCACCCCAAGCCCAGCTCTGATGTCCTATGATTCCTGCATTTCCTACATAGACACTCCGCAACTTATGATGGGGTTACATCCAATAAGCCCATATATCTTAAGTCAAAAATGCATTTTTTTTTTGGAGACAGGATCTCACTCTGACACCCAGGCTGGAGTGCAGTGGCATGATCATGGGGCACTGCAGCCTCTCATTCCTGGGCTCAAGCAACCCTCCTGCCTCAGCCTCGCCAGTAGCTAGGACTACAGGCATGTGTCACCATGTCCAGCTAATTTTCAAATTTTTTTGTAGAGATGGGGATCTCACTATATTGCCCAGGCTAGTCTCAAACTCATGGTCCCAAGGGATCCTCCCGCCTCACCCTCCCAAAATGCTGAGATTACAGGCGTGAGCCACCACGCCTGGCCGACAATGCATTTAACACACCTAACCTACTGAACCTCATAGCTTAGCCTAGTCTCCCTTAAACAAGCTCAGAACACCCAAAGTCATCTAACAAAAAGCCTACTTTATAATAAAGTGTTACATATATCATGTAATTTACTGAGTGCTGTACTGAAAGTAAAAACAGAACGATTGCATAGGTACTCAAAGCATGGTTTCTACTGAATGCATGTCACTTTCCCATCGTCATAAAGTCGGAAAATCATTAAGTGGAACCCCCGTAAGTCAGGGATCGCCTGTACCAACCATGATGAAGCAGCAAAGTGATGTGTAGGGGGAGGGTTTTCTTGGCTGCTGCCCCTTGCGAGTCTCGGCAGCAACTCAGATGAGGAGTATTTCTGTTTACAATCTGCCAGCTGCTCTCTGCCCACTGTGAGCCTTAGACGGTGCTGGGTCTGCAATCTGCACGCCCCTCCGTGGCTAATGCAAGCCCCGTGGCCACAGAGAGGGGAGAGGACTTCAGTTGCTCACCGGGGGCCCGGGTTCACCAGCAGCTCCATCCTCGCCAGGAGATCCAGGGGGTCCCGTGAAAACATCAGTTCCTGGTTTTCCTGGAATCCCAGGTGAGCCAGGTGGGCCCGGGGGACCTGGAGGACCCTAAAACACAGACACTCTGTTAGAGACGGTGAGGGAGGGTCAATATACACTCAGCATATGTATTGCATACATTCTCTCCATTTCTTACAACAGCCCTACAAGTAGCCATTGCTGTTCCCATTTAGCAGATGGGGAAACAGAGGCTCAGTGAGATAATGTGACTCAAGGCTCATACGTACACAGTTAATTACTGGAAGAGCCAGGATTTGAATCTAGGTCTTTCTGAGCCCATTATATCATGTTTTCTCCCGAATGGGTGTATACAATAAAGAACCAATTAGCTGGAATTCTCAGAGGTGCTCTGGCTAACTTAGTTTTCTGATTAACTGTGATGTCAGTCAAACACAGTCTGTTGGTGCAGCCTGGTTGTTAAAGTCCCCCTGGAGTGTCCTAGTCTCTTTGGCCTCTGAGCTGCCTGATCCCACCAGCCTGGGAGGTCCACGCGCTCCATCCGTGCATCCACCAAGTCAGACCTTTCCAGCCCTGGCCACTAGGAGTGGGCCAAGGGGCAGCCCAGTGGAGCTTCTAAGTGGGGCTTCAGCACAGGGGCACCCACAGGAGGCGGGGAAGTGAGGTTGGGGTCCCCGGGACAGAGGCACCAGCTACAGCTGGAGGGGGGCTCTCCACGGGCAATTTAGAAAGGGACTGGGGGAGCCCCAGACATGGGAAGGTGGCCAGGGGAGCAAGAGGCCCCAAGGAGGGAGAAAGAGGAGTCTGGAGAGGTCGGGAGGGGGTTGCCTAAGTGTAGGGAGGATTTCGAGAAGGTTTTGGAAGCCAAAGTATGAAATGCTACCGAGAGAAGAAGCAGAAGGTGTCTCTCATGAATAGGGTGAGAGTAGGGAGGTGGGGACTTGCAGGACCTTGCTGCACAGCAGCCTACTCCAGGCCGCCAGCGGAGGGAGCAACGTGGAGAAAGGAGGGCCTGAGTGTAAACGTAGGCTCATACCCATGTGGAACAAAACGAAGCTCATCAAAGGGGAAAAGTTCGAACATATACAAAAGTCAAGGAAAAATGAACGCATGGATTTGCCGCCAACAATCCTCACCGGTGGCCGGTCTGGTTCCATGTATCACCCTCCCCCGTGTCCCTCCCTCCCGGGTGGTTCCGGAGGCAGCCCTGGACACCAGCCCACGTCATCCTTCAACTCACCCTCAGCAGCTCCTCGCTGCCCATCTGGTCACCGGAGCCAGAGCCGACATCCAAGCCCCAGACCGGGCCGGAGCCCTCCACCTCCGCTCCCACCTAAGAGAGAAGAAATCCCCCAAATTTTCAGGCAACTGCCAGTCTCCAAGGACAGCCATGTCACCAAAAATTGTCCCATGTTCTGTAGCCCTATAACTTCTGTTCCCAACTTTCCTTGTGGCCTTTTCTCGCACTCCCACTACAGCTACCTTCCTCTCCTGCAACTCCCAGCCGTGCAGCCAACATGTGGCCAGTCCTCAGCCTCCTGTCTGCCTTTCAAGTCCCTACTCATCCTTCAAGACCCAGTTCCGCAGTCACCTCCTC